TTGTAGCAGCAGCAATCCTCCCAGGATAATTTCTACATAGGACACAGTTTCAGTGCCAGTGAGATTTTCTGGAATTTGACAGAAATGGGAAATCCAGGCAGAAGACTAAAAGGCCCTTAGAAGCCGTGTTGAGTCCACAAATACTGCTTGAGCACCTGCCCGAGTGCCTAGCGCTGTCTCAGGTGTGGGTCACGGTGAGGAACCAAGTGGGGAGGCCCATCTCATTGGCCTCTTTCATTCCAGAGCACATGCAGCTGATTGAACTTAGTGGGACTGGCCTTCCTTCAAATGTTCCTTGGTCATGTGCAGCTGGTGGCTTCGAGTGGGACAGTGCAGATCTAGGATGTCTGTCGATCAAATTCCCTGGGCAGGGCTGCTATAGAGGTGAAGAGGTGACAGTAATTACTGGACCAGAGACTTGGAGATGAGTCAGTGCTCTGAGAGAATGACACAATGGGGCCTGCCGAGGAGGGTGGGTAGTGTGCATGCTTTGGAAGTGGGCAGGAAGACAGCTCTGAGGAGGTGACGCATGAGCTGAGAGCTGGATGGGAACATGGGAAAAACGGCCTGGTAGGGAGGGGGCCAATGTGAAGACCCCTGGGTGAGACACACTTGGGCACATCTGAGAAAAAGTGAGGTGGTGGTTATGAGAAGTCCCCTTTGGTGTAAAGGGCATAAGAGAGCAGGGTTTGTATCCCTGCTACGTTTCCCGAGGGGCCCTGGGCAGGGTTCCCAGCCTCTCCCAACATGATCTTCTTTGTGTAAAGGTTGGACACTTGTTTACTGAGACTATGGGGCCTTAATGAAATGGCAGCTGCTGTGGTGGATTCCAAGACTTTGGCTGATGTCAAGGTGATCATCCACACCTTCAGCAGGTCCTTCTCTGGGCCTGGGTTTGGTGTTTCCGGTGCACAAAACCCAGTTGGCGGCCTCAGCAGTCACTGTAATTAGGTAACTTAGGTTTGTGGGCCGTCGCTGACATACACCTGGTTGGTTAGTTGTCAGCTTCGTTAGGAAACTGCTGTGAGGGAGCCACTTACCTTGAGAGAGAAGCAGGTGACAGAAGGCGCATGAGAGGAAAAGAGCAGCTCCCTTTAGCCTGTCCTAGTTGCAAGTGAGCGGATTACGTGGCCCAGGTTTCCCTGGGGGCACTCGGCTGGTGGGCCGAAAGCCAGGACCTCTGTTCCCCGGCAGATGGTTCACACTACGATTTATTTATTTTTTTTTTAATGAAGGTTCAAAAGCAGTGTGCTTGCAATAGAAACCGTACCCAGAGTTTTTATCTCTCCCTGGGCTAGTGGTGGGTGGGGTGTCACAACACTCTCCCAATGCTGGCAGTGGCAGAGCCTATGCTCGCCGCCAGTCAGCCACGTGACCACGGGAGTAACACGCGCCATGTGCAGTCAGTCACGTGACCACGGGAGGCACACACCCATGTGCAGTCAGTCACGTGACCACCAGAGTAACACGCGCCATGTGCAGTCAGCCACGTGACCACGGGAGTAACACGCGCCATGTGCAGTCAGCCACGTGACCGCGGGAGGAACCGTGTTGCCAGCGTCTTGGGACCATTGTGTTTCCCTTCCCATCAGCCACAGAGCGCCCACCTGCTCGCCTGCTCCTGGTGGAATGGGAGCGGCTGCGGCCGGCCTGGGGTCTGGGCTGTGTGAGGGGGCGGGCCGGGCTCAGCGGGGAGAGTCCTGGGTCCGGGGTCGCATTCAGTTTCAACTGCGGGTGGTTTGTGAGGTTGGAAGTCAAGCTGGAGCTCAGCTGTCAGGGGTGTTGATGGTGACTGTGCAGAACCGTGTTGGCCTGCGGGTCCCCTGGGCGCTCGGCACCGTAAGGACCCACTGAGCTCCTGACACCCCGACCCAGAAGGTTCTGCGGCTTAAAACAACACGAGCTCACATTTCTGAGCGAGCACTCAACGCAAGATTTTGAAAAGCACCCCAGTGCCCCCAAGGATGAGAAGAAACTAAATTCATGACCAACATTAAAGGAGAAATAAGTCCGTCCGAACCGGGGCGGCGGATAAGAACCCAGCAGTTACTTTAAGGGGAGGCACCAAGTAAAACGCCCTGACGAACCAGGATCCAAAACCCCCATGTTTAGGGGCCAGGCCTGCTGGTTGCCACAGTCCGGCCTCTGGGGAGGCGCCCGCCCGCACCCTTGGGGGCACTGCCAGGGGCCGCGTTACCTCGGAGGGAAGTTTCAAGCCTTAGAGCTTCCATTTCAAGAAGTGAAACAAAACCGAAAAAAAGGAAAGAAAACTACGCCTTCGAACCCAGGATTGGGGTGGGGGCAGGGCGAACCCCGAAGCCCTGAAGCCCCGGCTGAGAGGTCAGCGCCAGAGGGAGCGGGAAAAGGAGCGAGAGCGGGTCCCGTGGAGCCCGGGGCGCCTGCTGCGGAGGAGGGCGGGAGGGCGGGGCAGCGCTGTCATTCTTTGGGGGGGCACCCCGAACCTGGGACGGGAGCGCCCCCCTGGACCCGGGACGGGAGGGCCTGGGTGGCGGTGAGACCCGGAGAGCGAGCCCCGCTCAACTCAGCTCAGCTCCGGGCTGTGGCAGGACCGCGGGCCGCGCCCTTCCCGCTCCCGCGTCTGCGTCCCTGTGGGGTCTGGAGGCGGGGACACCGCGACGTCGGACGCGCCCTGTTAGAAGGACGTGGGGGTTGGATGGGAACCGGGGAGGCCTCCGAGAGGCGGGGGGGAGGGGGGGAGGGGGGGGCGGGGAGCGGTAATGGCGGGCGAAGGGGCCGGGATGCCGGCTGCGGTGCGGGAGGGAAGGCGCCCGCGCTCGCTCCCGCGGGGCCGCAGGGACGGACTAGCAGACGGTGAGGCGCCGGTGGCTCCTCGGGGGTCGGGGGACCCGAGACCAGCCGGGCTACCGGCCGAACCTCCGTCCTGGGGGCGTGGCCGCGCCGCACCCAAGGCAACATGGCGGCGCCGGAAGTCCGCGCCGCGGAGGCTCCTGGGAAATGTAGTGCGCGGCGTCCCCTCCCTCTCCCTCCGGCGCCTGGCTGACCGCTCGCTGCGGGGCTGAGGGGGGCCCGCGTGGCTGCGCCCTCGCTCCTAACATTGCATCCATTATTTGCGTCGGTTTTTTTTCCTTTTTCGCAGCCGCAGCCGCTGGTGGTGACTTCCTGTCCTGCCTTCCCCCCGCTTTCCTGTGGTGATGAGGCTGAGGTCCGTGTGGGTGTTCAGGCTCCGTGGGCTCCACGGGCTTCGGGAACCGCGTCCGGCGTCGCAGCGCTGGGCCGGGTGCAGGGAAGGGCGGGCTCGCTCCCTCTGGCCCCCCCCCCCCCAAATCCTGGGTTCGAAAGCGTAGTTTTTCTTTCTTTCTTGGTTTTGTTTTTACTTCTGGAAATGGAAATGTGGTAAAGATATTTTTTAAAGGAACAGCCCAGCACCCAGTGAGGCCTCAGCAGAGCCCGGTGTCCCTTTGGAGCCCGAGAAAAGCTCCTGGCGCCTCCCTCGCGGTCCCCGAGAACCGCCTGCCCGCGGGTCCCCTTTCCTTCCCGCACCTGCACCCCCGGCGGCTGGAGTGTCCCCGGGGGACGGACCGGCGCGGCTCTGTCTCCGTCCCGCCGACCGCCAACCGCAGCCGCTGCCGGGTGCGGCTCAGCGCGGGCGGGCACCAGCGTCCCCTGGCCGCTGCCCGGCTCCGGGAGCAGCACCCGCTGGCCTCCCCCACTTGTCCCGGGCGTGCCGGTCACGCCTGGTCTCCGTCTCTGGCCGATCCGATGGGGGGGGGGGGGCGTTTCTTCCCAGACCCCCGCCCCCCGCCCGCGCTGGGCCGCCTCCCGGGAGTCGCCGCCCCGCCCCTGTGCTCGCCGCCTGCCTGAGCCGCCCGCTGGCTGTCCCCGCGCCCTCCCTCCGTGGGCCGCCCCGGCCTCTCTCCCGTGGGGACTGCGGGCTGTCTGCCTTCGGGTTCCTTTCTGGGCTGTTTCTGGTTTCGGACCTGGGGCCAGGCCTCTGCACCCGCCGCTGCCGCGCTTCCTAAGGTCCCTCCTCCGTCAGCGCAGCCCCGCTGCCCCGCTGCCCGGGAAGGCCTGGCCGCCCCGGCCCGCTTCCTGCCCGCCCTTCAGGTGGATGGAGTCCCACAGCCCGGCCTGGGCGCCTGGCCGCTCCCCCGGCTCCGGGCTCGTCCTCCGCCCGCAGCGAGTCAGCCCTGCGCCCCTCCTCGCGGCACCCGCTCCCTGTGGGGACGTAGTTCGGGGTCCACGCCCATTTTCTTCGTCGTTGTTTGTTTTAAAGCAACTTCTCAAATATGTCCGCCTAGTTCCAATGAGCATAAGCCTGAGGCTCGAGCGGCAGGTTCGGGTCTCCTGGCTGCACCGGGGGCAGCGGCTCGGTGTCACTTCCGAGGAGCTGCCTGCGGGGCTCCTGCCCCCGGGGTGGGGGTGCCTGCGGGGCTCCTGCCCCCGGGGTGGGGGTGCCTGCGGGGCTCCTGCCCGGGGGGGTGGGGGTGCCTGCGGGGCTCCTGCCCTGGGGGCGGGGGTGCCTGCGGGGCTCCTGCCCCCGGGGTGGGGGTGCCTGCGGGGCTCCTGCCCGGAAGGGGGGGTGCCTGCGGGGCTCCTGCCCTGGGGGGGGGGGGTGCCGGCCTCCCCGTCTCTCAGGTTGTGGTTCCCCCTCCAGGCGGCCGGGCCTTCCGGGCGCACACTGCTGGCGCCCTGTTCCGGGAGGAGGTATCTCACCTGGTTTTACTCTGCGCTTTCCAGGTGGCGAATGATGCTGAACGTCTTTTCATGTGTTTCTTTTTTTAATGTATTTTATTGGTTGTTTACAGAGAGAGGAAGAGGGGGAGAGAGAGAAACATGGGTGACGAGAGGCTGCTTCCTGCAGCCGCCCCCTCCTCCCCCCACTGGGGATGGAGCCGAACCCGGCCTGTGCCCCGACCGGGATGGAGCTGTGACCTGGTTCACAGGTCCATGTGCAGCCCCCGAGCCCCGCCGAGGGCGCATGTGCTTCGTGGTCACGGCTCCTCCGCTTCTCGCTCCAGGGCGTCCTGAGGCTCCACGGGACCCCCCACCGGACCCCCCGTCGGACCTCCTTCCCGCCGGGGCGCCGCTGATGCAGATCGAGGTGGTGGAGGTCCTCTCCCTGAACGAGGAGGCGGCGCGCTCCCGGAACGCCGGCCTCTGGGCCCTCTACGCCGGAGAGGACGGCCTGAGCCCCGAGGGCCGCGGGGAGCCCACGCCCCCGGGCAGCCGCCCCGCCGACCCCGAGGCCGCACGACAGCGGTTCCGGGGGTTCCGCTTTGAGGAGGCGGCGGGGCCCCGAGAGGCCCAGGCCGAGCTCCGCGAGCTGTGCCGCCAGTGGCTGCGGCCCGAGGCGCGCTCCAAGGAGCAGATGCTGGAGGCGCTGGTGCTGGAGCAGTTCCTGGGCGCGCTGCCCGCGAAGCTCCGCGTGTGGGTGGAGTCGCAGCACCCGCAGGACTGCCAGCAGGCGGTGGCCCTGGTGGAGGATGTGACCTGGGCATCCGAGGAGAAAGGTGGGTGCAGGGACGGGTGCGGAGGGGGCACCCCTGTGGGGCGTTTGGAGGGTGGGGGTGGGTGTGCCCTGTGCGTCCGTGCTGCGGGGGTCCCTGCCGTGGCCTCCAGATCAAGGGCTTGGCGAATCCTCCCTGGACCCAGCTGTGGAAATGGAGGCCTCAGGCCCCACCCCAGCTATGGGACCCTGGGGCGGGGGCTGGCCTGCCTATGCAAGGGGCCCCACCCCAGGCTTCTCAGGGAGCTGTCCAATGAGCCGCTCAGTGTCCTCCGTCGGCTCTGCCCACAGCCAGGAGGAACCCTGACTTCAGTCCCACAGGCACGGTCCTGGGGCGCCGTCCCGTGTCTCCCATGCGGTGGGCTGTGCACACCGTGGTGACCGGGACACGCAGGCTCCTGAGCGCAGCAGGCCCCAGTCTCCCAGCAAAGACGGAACGTGGCAGAGGAGAGTGTGAGGTGGGAATATGGCGAAGGAATGCGTGTGAGACGAATGTGACGAAGGAATGCTTGTGAGACGGGAACATGACAGATGAGAGTGTGAGGTGGGAATATGGCGAAGGAATGCGTGTGAGACGAATGTGACGAAGGAATGCGTGTGAGACGGTGGAGTTGAGAGGAACCAGAGGGCGCTGGTAGTGGGGCCGTGGAGGCCAGCACCTGGCCGGAGCAGAGCTCAGAGGCAGCAGGATGGGTGTGCCAGGCGGGGAGCATCCCCTGCACAGGCCACGGGGGAAGCCGTCAGTCTGTTCGGCATCAGAAGGTGGGGTAGGTCCACCAGCAGGAGCACAGGGCAGGGCAGGTCCCTTGGGAAGTTCCCTGGCTCAGGGGGCACCGAGCCCTGAGTTCAGGGGCAGCGGCAGGTCGGAGGGAGCTTCCCAGACTCCTCATTGGCAGCAGGTGTGGCTGGTGGGTAACGGGTTGCTTTTTTTCCTTAAATTTATTTATTTATTTAGGAAAGAAAAACATTGATTTGTTGTTCCACTTATTTATGTATTCTTTTTTTAGTGTATTTTTATTGGTTTCAGAGACGGGAGGGAGAGAGACATCAATGATGAGAGCGAAGCATTGACGGCCGCTTTCTGCACGCCCCCCACTGGGGATGGAGCCCACAACCTGAGCATGTGCCCTGCCCAGGAATTGAACCCTGACCTCCTGGTTCATAGGTTGGCGCTCAACCACTGAGCCACACCCACTGGGGTCTTGTTTATTTACTTATTTATTTATTTTAGAGAGAGAAAGACATCAATTAACTGCCTCTCACCTATGCCCCAATCAGGGATGGAACCCGCAACCTTGGCATATCAGGGTGACGCTTTAAGCACTGAGCCACCCAGCCAGGAGGGGTGGCTGCGTTTGGGAGCCGAGTCCATGGGACTGGCCTCTGTGTGGCTGAGGTCCGTTTTGCTCACCTCCCTGCCCCATGCAGCACCTGATGGGCTTTTTTCTTTCTTTTTTTAAATCCTCACCTGAGGATATTTTTTTTATTTTAGAGGAAGAGAGAGAGAGAGACGTTGATGGGCTACACGGAGGTTGGGGAAAGTTAGGGCTGAGCAGGGCTATGAGGCTGAGCAGGGCTGTTTCCTGAATTGGAGGAGACTTGGCAGAATTCACATCAGGACGGGTGTGTCAGAGAGCAGGTCTGTCCTGGGGCCGGACAGCCCCACCCTCCACAGTGTCAGGTGGGGACAGGCGGTCGGAGGACTGGGGGCCAGAGGTGCGGGCTTAGCCTCTGAGGAGAAGGTGAGTGGAGCACACGGAGCCCCGTCGGGCCAGAGACGGGCTGACCCTGTCCTGCCACCCCCTGACCCTGTGCTGCTCTCTCCCAGCTCTGCCTGCCTCGGGCCCCACCTGCCCCCCGGAGACCCCAGCTCAGGAGGAGAAGGAGGAGAAGGAGACCACCTGCCCAGCAGAGGTCCTGCCAGAGGTGAGGGGAGCGGCACCCCTTCCTGCTCTGTCACAGCTTCTCCTGTGAGGGACCCCACCCCCACCCCACCCCACCCCACCCCGCAGCCTCCGGGCCAGGCCTTTCGGAGTTCCCTAGCGCCAAGGGCAGGAGAGCGTGACAGAGACGGTCGAGATTCGCTGCAAAAGAACCAGAGTTGTTGAGGCTCAGAGGTGGGCCCCAGCCCTGTGTCTGTGTGGCCCTGGCCAGGGCTGCTCCTGGCGGAAGCTGCCTCTGCAGGAAGGTGCTGGCGCTCGTGTGGGGTGATCTGGGGGTGCTTCAGGCAAGGCTGTGTCCAGGGGCTCCCCGGTGGTGGAGGGCTCTCCAGCCCATCTTGTGGCTCTGCCTCTTGTGGGCAAAATGCCTCCCAGGTCCAGGCAAAGGGCCGTGGGAGGCCTCTGCCCCTGGAGTCCTCATGGGCCCCTCGGAAAGGACTGATCCCGGTCACAGCGGCCGGGGGACACCCCGCACGGCAGCTGTTGTTCCCCCACGTGGGTCGGCTGCCCAGGAGCCGGGCGCGTGGGGAGCGTGGGGAAAGGTGAGCTGCACTCAGGTGTGGGGAGCGGAGGTACCTGCTACTCCTGGTGAAATGGGGCTCTGCCTCAGCCCACACTCTTCCCCAAAGCAAAGGCACCCCTCCCTGCAGAGCAGGCTCTGTCCCCTTCGAGGGCTCCTGACCCTCCCGCTGATCAGCACACCGTGGCCTCGCAGGAGCCAGTGACCTTCCTGGACGTGGCCCTGGACTTCAACAGGGACGAGTGGGAGCTGCTGGACCCCACACAGAGGACCGAGTACCATGACGTGATGCTGGAGACCTTCCGACACCTGGTCTCCGTGGGTGAGGCCTTGCCCTCGCCCGCACTGCCCTCAGGACAGGGGTGGCACGGGTGCCCCGCGTCAGGTAGTGCCTTCTCTGGGCCCAGCTGGAGGAATGGGTGTGCCCTCAGGAGCTGGGGGGCTTAGTTGGTTGGAGTATCGTCCTGTACTCCGAAAGGCTGCAGGTTCGATTCTGGGCCAGGGCGCGTACAAGAGGCAACCGGTCGATGTGTCTCTCTCACATGGATGTTTCTCAAGTCCCTTGCTCCAACCAGGGCCTTGAACTGGCCTGTGGCCTTGAAGGGGTGGGTGTTGTGTGCACGGGGCAGCCTCAGTCCCACTGAAGGACCTCACTGTGGGCGTCTGAGGGCCGCATGGGAGATGGAGAGCTGGCAGACACCCCAGCCTGGTCTCAAGCACAGTGTCCCCGCTTGGCTGCATCACTGCTTTTCTCAGTCGCTCCCCAGGTTGCAAGACTGCACTTGGGGGAGACCATCCCCAGCTTTGCCCTGTCGGGGTGTCTCAGTTGGTGGGGGTGTTGTCCCGCACGCCAAAAGGTTGCGGGTTCAGTTCCCCATCAGGGAACATACCTGGGTTGTGGGTTCGTTCCCCGGTCAGGATATGTACAGGAGGCAACTGTTTCTCTTTATCTCCCCCTTCCTTAATAAAATGAATAAAAACATACCCTCAGCTGAGGATTAAAAAACACATAAGACATCCCCCAGCTTTCAAACGTAATTGTCCTGCTCTCAGCCCACTTCAGCATTTCCTCTGCGTAACCCACACCTTCTGGTGTCTTTCAGGCTGGGAGACTACACTGGAAGGGGAGCAGTTACCCCCAAAGTCAGCTCTTCCTGAGGCAGAACCAGCCCCCAACCTGAAAGTGGAAGAGCTCTCGGGGGCTGAGGCCCAACCCTCTACCTCAGGGGAGGCCCCGCAGCGGGGGGCCCTGGAAGTTGGGGACACGGCATTGCCGCCTGTGGGGCTGGCCCAGGAGGAAGCCCTCTCTGAGAAGCAGCAGCGTGAAAGCCCCAAGTCCCCAGCAGGCAGGGGTCTCGCCACAAGCCGCGCCTCCCTCCGGAAAACTCTACCCCGGAAAGGCTTGCGCAGGCATAGCTCACGCAGGCATAGTTCACGCCTTAGAAAGGCAGCGCTCGATTCCCAGGTAAAAACCCAGCAGAGCCGCCAAGGGAGCAGAGCCCGGGAAAGCAGGGGCACCCCGCAGGTCACGTTTGTGCAGATCCACAAGGGGAGCCAGGTGTTCCGCTGCAGCGCGTGTAGCAAACTGTTCCGGAACCCCAGGTACTTCTCCGTGCACAGGAAGATCCACACGGGAGAGAAGCCCTACGTGTGCCGGTACTGCGGCAAGGCCTTCATCCAGAGCTCCTCCCTCACACAGCACCAGAGGATTCATACTGGAGAGAGGCCGTTCAAGTGTCGAGAGTGTGGGCGGACCTTCAATGACCGCTCGGCCATCTCCCAGCACCTGAGGACTCACACCGGAGCCCGGCCCTACCTGTGCAAGTTCTGCAGCAAGACTTTCCGCCAGAGCTCCCACCTCATCCGGCACCAGAGGATCCACACCGGGGAGCGCCCCTATGTCTGCGACAGATGCGGGAAGGCCTTCACCCAGAGCTCACACCTCATCGGGCACCAGAAGACGCACAGTGGGGCTAAACGCAAGAAGAGACACCGATCTAGCGCTAAAGCCAGTTGATGAGACGCTGCCTTCTCAGCCCAGTCCTGCACCAGAACCTGAGTGGTGTGCTGGGACTCGGGCCTGACCCCAAAGCACTGAAGGACGGTGTTCTCAAGACCAAAGGACCTCCAGGGGCCCCGTCCTGCACACACAGGGGACGTGGGCATCGTCGATAATGAATGTGACAGCCGGAAAACAGATCTAGTTTTTTACTCAATGGATTTGCAGTTGTGATTTGGTCATTACGAGGGATGTTACTGAAAGCGAAGTGCTTACAATGAAGTGGGTGCACTGATATTTGTAGTAAAGTATTTATGTGTATGAACAGGGACTAAAAGAGAAGATGGATAAGTAAACTATATTTCTGTGGTAGAGTCTGTGTGTGTATTTTCCTGTTTAAATACCCTTCATTATTGTTTTGATAAATAAGCAATGTTAACACACAAGAATGGAGCCCTGGCAGGCAGCTCAGTTGGGTGGAGCATCGTCCCATTCACCAAAAGGTTGCGGGTTGATTCCCAGTCAGGGCGCCTATGGGCAGCAACTGATCAATGTTTCTCTCTCCCCTTTCCTCTCTCTCTAAAAAAATCAATATTTAAAAATCCTTGGGGGTGGGGTGGGTGGGTAACAAAATTGTTTTTTTTTTAAAAAAAAGGATGGAGGTTGTCAGACCAATTCTGGCAGATTCTGTGCAAGGCTGCAATCCCTCCAGCCCAAGATTGCAAGTGAGTCAGGATGAATGTCATTGGGTCCCTTGTCCCATCAAGATACAGTTAGGTGCAGGGCATGGGGACAGAGAGAGGAAGTCCTAGGGCAGTGATGGCGACCTTTTGAGCTCGATGTGCCCGCATTTTGAAAAGCCCAAACTTAACTCTGGTGCCGTGTCGCATATAGAAATTTTTTGATATTTGAAACCATCGTAAAACAAAGACTTATATTTTTGATATTTATTGTATATAGTTAAATGCCATTTAACAAAGAAAAATCAACCAAAAAAGTGAGTTCACGTGTCACCTCTGACACGCGTGTCAGGTTTGCCATCACTGTCCTAGGGACCCAGAGAGCTGGAAACCCCAGGCAAGCATGGACACCTAGGCATGTGCGCGTCACATTTCCACTTCCCTGAGGGACTTGTGGGAGGGAGGGACATGTACTTGACGCCCGTGTTTCAGGTGAGATGACATTAAAATCCTCCAGGTCCAAATGGGGTGGGTCAGTTGGTTGAGCATCAACCTATGAACCAGGAGGTCACAGTTTGATTCCGGGTTAGGGCACGTGCCTGGGTTGCAGGCTTGATCCCCAGTAGTGGGTGTGCAGGAGGCAGCCGATCAATGATTCTCTCTCCTCATTGATGCTTCTATCTCCCCCTCCCTTCCTCTCTGAATTCAATAAAAATGTATTTCTTTTTTTTCTTTTTTTTTTTTTTTAATATATTTTATTGATTTTTTTACAGAGAGGAAGGGAGAGAGATAGAGAGAGTTAGAAACATCGATGAGAGAGAAACATCGATCAGCTGCCTCCTGCACATCTCCCATTGGGGATGTGCCCGCAACCCAGGTACATGCCCTTGACCGGAATCGAACCTGGGACCTTTCAGTCTGCAGGCCGACGCTCTATCCACTGAGCCAAACCGGTTTCGGCAAAAATGTATTTCTTTACAAATTTCTCCAGGTGACAGCCTGTAACCCGCAGCCCATTCTACCCCTTCCTCCACTCCTCCTCCACCTTCGTTCTCTTGAGGTCTGCATAAACATTTCAAAACATTTTCTAGACCCCTGGGTCAGAAGTAATGAACGTTCAGCGGTTAGTGGTTGGGTGCTGCCTGCACGGCCTCTCCAGGCAAAAGGCTCCTGGCTGTGGTATCACATTTAGTCTTTTCCACGACCCGACATGGCCCTGTTGGCTTGGAGCAATGGGAACATCTGGGTTGAAGAAGGTACGTGGGTGCTGCTGCCCTCCCATGCATGAGTGGGAGACCTTTCCTAGGAAGAAGGAGCAGTTCTCCGAGAACCAGCGATGTAGACGCGCCTCACCGGGGTGCCCAGCACTGGCTGGTGAGTTCACAGCCATGTCCTCAAACCAGCTTCCTTCATCCTAAATGTCACACACTGGTTTGTGCTGAGAAGGTGGTCACGGGAGGTGAGCCGACTGCCTTCCTGTCCACGGCAATTTCAAACGTGGCCACAAATCCTTAGCCGTTCCTCCCCAGAAACCACCTGGGCTTGTTCCGGCCAATAGCGGCAGCAGAATAATGCCATGTGACTTCCTTGAGACAAGGTCTTAACAGCGGTTCTCAACCTGTGGGTCCCGACCCCTTTGGCGGTCAAACAACCCTTTCACAGGGGTCGCCTAAGACCATCAGAAAACACATATATAATTACATATTTTGTGATTAATCACGATGCTTTAATTATGTTCCATTTGTAACAATGAAATTGGGGGTCGCCACATCATGAGGGACTGTATTAAAGGGTCGCGGCATTAGGAAGGTTGAGAACCACTGTCTTAGAAGGATGTGGCTCCATCTTCTTTGCTGACACTCTCCTCCTTCTGGGATGGCTCGTCCAGCCGCCCTGCTCATGCCCTCAGCCCTCACCCTGACTCAGCCTCATAGCTCCCATAGCCCTGCATGACCAATGGAACTACAGGCCTGTGGTTCTGGCTGGAACATGAGGCCCACGCCGGCAGAGACTGGGCGTGGCTGTTCACTACTCTCCCCTTAAGAAACATTTGCTGGGCCCTGGCAGGGTGGCTCAGTTGATTAGAGCGTGTCCTGATCCCCCAGGTTGCAGGTTTGATCCCTAGTCAGAGCACACACCAGCAACCCATAAATCATCTGCCTCTCAATCAACAAACGGATCCCCCAACCACAACCATCTCTCCTCCCAGGATGGCCATCCCTGGAATTCCATGACACCCCTCCTCTCAGGGTCGATGGAAAGATCATCCCCTGGTCTAACACTAGAATCACCCAGGAACGGTGTAGTTGAGCAACTAAATCATCTGCCCTTCATACCAACCCTCAAAGCAAGGAAGAGGCTCCCTTCGTGGTTTTCCACCAAAGATTCCCAATATCAAGGTCTTGGTTTGGTGCTGTTTTTTAAGCCTCTCTCGCACTTGGCAAATAAACCTTTTTTTAACAGAATGAACAGGTTTTCATGCCCTAGCCAGTTTGGCTCAGTGGATAGAGCGTTGCCCTGCAGACGGAAGGGGCCTGGGTTTGATTCTGGTCAAGGGCACATACCCTAGGTTGCAGGCTCCATCCCTGGCCCTTCTCAGGGCACATGCGGGAGGCAACCAATTGATGTGTCTCACATCCATATCTCTCTCTCCTCCTCCCTTCCACTCTCTAAACATTGAAAAATATCCTCGGGTGAGGACTTAAAAAATAATAAAAAGAACAGGCTTTCAGAGGCAACATAATCCGGCTAAAATTCAATATTTTGTTTCAACTGAATGTAATTCATGTTTAATAAGTGAATAACTGAAAGACCCCTTTAAAAGTAGTTTTGAGGGTTTTTATTGACACTATTACAGATGTCCCCCATTATCCCCCACCCAGCCCCACCCCCTGCCTTCACCACACTGTAGCCTGTGTCCATGGGCTTTATATATATATATATGCACATACGTTCTTTAGCTCATCCCTTCCAGTCCCCTCCAAGGCCCCTTCCCTCTGAGATCTGTCTGGTCCTTGCGTCCATGTCTCTGGTCCTATTTTGTTCATCGGGTTCCACATATAGGTGTCTTTCTCTGACTGGTTTATTTCGCTTAGCATCATAATCTCCAGGTCCATCCCCGCTATTGCAAAGCGAAAGGGTTCTTTTTTTTTTAACAGCCACGTAGTATTCCATTGTGTAAATATACCACTTTTTCTTTTTATCCACTCATCTACTGATGGGCACGTGGGCTATTTCCAGAGCTTGGCTATGGTAAATAACACTGCTATTGAATACAGGATATATTGCTAGAAGTGGGATTGCTGGGTCAAATGGAGTTTTGAGTTTTAACAAGTGAGTGGATTTAGAGATTATTAAGCGAATCAACTGGAGAGTACCGGACATGGCAAAACCCAAGGATGGGAGTGGATACCCAGTTTGAGAGGCCTTTCCTAGCAGCCCCCACATGGCTCCCCTTTGCTGCTCCCCTGCAGTCAGGCATGCCCTTGGGTGTGGTCCCCCAAGATTTCTCAGTTCCTTCAACTAAGTTTATGCTCAGGGCACCAACTCTAGCCCCTCCAATTCTCCCCCTCCCAATGGCTGAACGAAACCAAACTGTACTTGCGCAAACGCCCCTAGCCTGTGCCAGGTGGGCAAGGGAATCCGGGAGGGACGGGCGGTGACCACCCTGGGCCTCCAGCACAAGGTGAGTCCCCGGGTCCCTTTCTCAACTATGGCTGGACGGTCAGAGAGGCCTGCATTCTAGGCTGTTTGACTGAACCTGGGAAGTTTCGGTGGGAATGGGGTCCCAAATTCACCACGTGCCCTGGCCCTCCAGTTCAGCCCCACCCCACGCCCAAGGGCCCTCAGACCAGCCCAAGGGACCATTTACTTTAGCTCAGCCCGGTCCACAACCCCTAGGCAGGCTTGACACCTACCTCCTCAGCACCCAGAGAACCACCCACTCCCAGCTCAACCTGAGGCCTCCCCTACCTAGAGACCCCTATAGCCTGGCCAAGACCCCCCTTCCCAGCCCAGGAGTCCTGGAGACCTCATCTCCCCGCTCCCAGCCAACCGTCCACCCTCTAACAGGAAGGGGACACTGTCCCACCGCACCAGGCCAGCAGCCCCCACGCCCAGGCCTTTTGCCACCACTGTCCCGCAGACTTTCTGGGAGACTCCCTGAGGGGTGTGGTATCACCCCATTCCCTCTCTCTTCCTCTCGGAAATCAATAATATATATATATTTTTTTTTTTTTTTAAAAAGACATCCTTTGGAATGTAGATTCCAGACTTTCTGGAATACGCAAATTGCAGGGTCATAGTAGCAAGTAACAAGTATCTGTGAGTAGGAAAGCAATGGCTGTTGGGTAAAGCAACCAACGAGGTGGGTCCCAGGTGCGTGCCAGGAGCACCCCAGACACAGGAGCACAATCCAGGAGTCCAGGAGGAGGAGTGTCTCAGGAGATGGGGAGTGGCTCCCACCAATCGGCTGCCTGGGAAGACGTCCTTCTTGTAGAGCCAGGGCGGGTGTCGGGCCTGACTCTGTGCTACACACCGTGCAATGACTGACTCTGCAAGCGACGGCCCTGCCGACCCTCCCTGCAGCCAACGGGCTCCAATCGGCTCGGTGCGTTGGAGTGTCATCCGGTAAACCAAAAAGGTGGCGGGTTCGACTCCCGGTCCGGGGCATATATATATACCTGGGTTTCGGGTTCCCTCCCGGTCGGGTGCGTGCAAGGAGGCAACCGACGGATGTTTCTCACATCCATGTTTCTCTCTCCCCCACACTCCCCACTCTTTAAAAAAAGAAAACAATAAAAACATATCCTTGGGCGCGAATTTCAAAAAAAGACTTGGATCCGAAACTGCCAGCCTCCCTGGTCTTCGCCCCCGTCCTTAGGGCCAATGGGGAGGCAAACACGACCCGCTTCTGGTCCTCCTGCCTCCGGCTTCCAGCCCCGGCGACACGCAACCAGGCGACACGCTTCCGCTTTTCCTGATGGTCACTGTCTGCGCCCAGCATTTCAGCCTCCGCCAAACGCACGGGATGCGGTGAACTCGGGCTCCCCCATCGGGGTCCTCCTCCACTTCCCTGGCAGGTCCGGGCGGACGTCATAAAGGTCCCCCCAGGAGAGGAGGCTGTGTGTCCCGGGGTGGGGGTGGTGGGGGGTATCCATTCCTTGGGGCGTCCTTCCCCAGCACCAAAGCTTTCGGTTCCATTCCCGTCAGGCAGGTACCCAGGTGGCGGGTTCGACCCCCGGGTCAGGCACATTCGGGGGAGGCGGGGTGCCTCCGGGGCACGTTTCTCTGTCACATCGGTAATCAATGTGTGTCTCTTTAAAAACAATCCCCATGTCCTCGGTGAGGGCTTAAAAAAGGAAGAAGAAAGGCCAAGCGCAGTTCAGACTCGACCCCCGCCCTCGCCGTAGGTCTCAGCGTCCGTCCGCGGTGTCAGCGCCCCTCTCTGTGGCGTCGGCCGCGGACGCCGGACAAGGAGAATCATCGATCCCGGAAGAGAGGGCGCCCCCAGGGGCAGAACCGGAAGAAAGCGAGGGTCCGGGCCGCAGCGTGAGCCTCAGTAAAAGGGGGTGCGGCGTGCGGGGGGCGAGAGGCGGGGGACAGAGGGGAAGCCAGCCGCGCCCTAAACCCACCCCCAGTCACTACGCCGCCGCCGTTGCGGTGAGCAACCGCCGCACCGCGCCACGCGAGAAACGGCCAAAGGCGCGCGAGAACCAGGCACCCCCCCCCACCCCCGGCGCGCTGCCTTCTGGGACTTGTAGTTGCCGGCGCCGAGCGCGCGCACTTCCGCCGCGCACCGGAAGCGCCGCCATTGCCTCGCCCGCGCAGGTGAGTCAGGCGCGACTCGACGGGCGCGGAGGTTCCGCTGTGAGTGGGGCGGAGCGGGTCGCTGGACCGGGCCGAGGTGACCCGAACGGCGCCGGGGAAGGAGGGAGCGGACCGGCCCGGAGGCCTCCTCTTGCGGGGCCGGGCAGGGGCCTGTCCGATTCACGGCGCTCCGGCTGCGGGAACGGGGAGAGGGCCGGTCGGTCCCGCCAGGGCCCCTCGCTGTCGCCCGGTGGTGGCGGCGGCCCTCCCGCTGCAGGACCGGGCGGGGCGCCTCTCGTGGGCCGTCTTCTGCCGGAAAGCAGGCCCCGGGCTGCAGTGTTTTTGCCGGGACGCAGGCGGACGTCTGTGGACGTGGCGCCTCCATTGTCCCTCTGTTAACCCCTAGAGTGCCGGGAGCGCTAGCAAAGCTTCGAAAGGGCGTCCAGTTCTAAGCCTGCTTTTTTTTTTTTAATAATATATTTTATTGATTTTTTTTACAGAGAGGAAGGGAGAGAGAGTTAGAAACATCGATGAGAGGGAAACATTGACCAGCTGCCTCCTGCACGCCCCCTACTGGCGGGATGTACCCGCAACCCGGGTCCATGCCCGTGGCCGGAATCGAACCCGGGACCCTTCAGTCCCCAGGCCGACGCTCTATCCACTGAGCCACACCGGTCAGGGCTCTAAGTCTGCTTTTATTAGTGACGACGGTATTGCTAAGTATGTCAATGTAGTAAAGGTTTCCTTAAGGTTTTGAATATGTAACTTCATTTACTTGCGATTCATAATTTTTTTTCCCCCAAAAAAACTGCTGTAAAATCAGCAAAAAATGCCTTGGCAATTTTAGCAGAGTTCCTAGGATTTGGGTTGTCACTCAAAGGGTTAAACCACACTGCCCACCCTCCCGCCCCCCCCCCCCCAAGGCTCTCGGTATAGGTGCAGGAGCCGGTAGCCCAGGTTAGTCCTCCTTGTGGATAAAGAAAGGGAGTCCTCTGTGAAAAGTGACCCCTCAGGGTCCTAAGAAGGTCGAAAATTCCTAACCAGGCAGGTCCTGGCAGGTGGTCTCGCCCCAGGGCTGTTCTGTAGAGAAAAAGCTTATCATTGTCTTAGGGCCCCAGCGGTTCTCAACCTGTGGGTCGCGACCCCTTTGGCGGTTGAACGACCCTTTCACAGGGGTCGCCTAAGACCGTTCTGCATATCAGATATTTACATGACGATTCGTCACCGTAGCAACATGACAGTGATGGCGTAGCAACGAAAACAATTTTATGGTTGGGTCACAACGTGAGGAACTGTATTGAAAGGGCCAGAAGGTTGAGAACCGCTGGTCTTAGGCAGACTATGCCCATTGTTTCCGTGTTTCTGCCCGGGGTTAGCACCCCTTTGAAATGCTTTTGCTGTTGAATATTGTGTCATCCCTGATCCCAGCCTTGCTTCCTCCTCCCCTCCCCTCCTTGCACGTAATCTTCGCATGTTCCTTCCTTAATTCTGAATGCCTAAGACAGTGGTCGGCAAGCTCGTTAGTCAACAGAGCCAAATATCAACAGTACAATGATTGAAATTTCGTTTGCGAGCCAGATTTTTTAAACTTAAACTATATAGGTAGGTACATTGTTAATAACTTAATCAGGGTCCTCCTGAGCTGGCCTTTGCTAAAAACGTCCTCCATCTGATGGAGGTACGTCCGCTGAGGTCGACCCCTTCCAACTCTCCCACCCACACGCGTCTTGTAGACTTGTTCCGTCCGTCTCCTTTCGTTCATCCTCTCTCTGTGTCCAAACCATCTCCGCACACCTTTCTCCGTCCTCGACACTACATCTTCTTTCACTCCATCCACAGCGTTCCCTAAAATTAACTTAATAAACTTTACTTAAAGTTTTAAGTCAACTTCGCACTGTACGTGGTATTTTGTGGAAGAGCCACGGTTTGCCGACCACTGGCCTAAAAGAAGCTGCAGGCTCATTCCGGGAAAGCCCTTTGTCAGTCTGCGGAGATCTTGCTTCTAGGTGTGTTCTCTGTTTGGCTTCCATGAACTAGAAACGTTCTCCAGGAGAGCTGCCCCCCCCCCCCCCCCCTTACATCCCCACCCTTTCCCTAGAGCAGTGATGGCGAACCTATGACACGCGTCTCAGAGGTGACATGCGAACTCATTTTTTTGTTTGATTTTTCTTTGTTAAATGGCATTTACATATATAAAATAAATATCAAAAAGATAAGTCTAGATCAACCAAAGGACTGGTATGCATGCATATAAGCATAACCAATGGACATAAGACACTGGCGGGTAGGGGAGGCTAGGGGACTGTCAAGGGCGGGGGGGAAAAAAGGACACATATATAATACCCTTTGTAATACTTTAAGCAATAAAAATAAAAAATATACATATAAGTCTTTGTTTTACTATGGCTGCAAATATCAAAACGTTTCTATATGTGAGCTGGGCGTGCCAGCATTTTGAAAAACCCTCACTTAACTCTGGTGCCGTGTCACATATAGAAATCTTTTGATATTTGCAACCATAGTAAAACAAAGACTTATATTTTTGATATTTATTTTATATATTTAAATGCCATTTAACAAAGAAAAATCAACCAACAAAATGAGTTCGCGTGTCACCCCTGAGACGCGTGTCATAGGTTCGCCATCAGTGCTAAAGGGGGTATGACTAGATGCGGAGGAGGGAATGGCAGTGTCCGGGAGCCTGGGGCAGCACTTGAAACCGCACCCCATAATCAGGGAAAGAGGAAATTGGAAATGTAAAGAGAAGGCGCCTCCTCCCCAGTGCTGCAGGGTCCCAGCCAGAGCAGCCCTTTCCCAGGTCCAGCATGCGACACGGAAGGAGGATTTCATGTTTGTGTGTAACTGATGTGAATGTGCTGTGCCCATCCTGGGTGTCGGCTCAGGGATCGGCTCATCTCATTCTCAGCAGCACCATGAGGCAGAGCCTGCTGTTCTCCCAGAAGTCCACAGATGAGACGGAGGCCCAGGGGGTTAACGTCTGCTGGGGTCCTTCCTACTGAGGCAGTGTAGAGCTGGGACTCTGAATGCAGACCGTCTGGCCCCGGCCGGTGTGGCTCAGTGAGTTGAGTGTCATCCTGTGCACCATGGGGTTGTCAGTTTGATTCCTGGTCCAGGCACGTGCCCAGGTTGTTGGCCCGATCCCCGGTAGGCGCTGTGCAGGAGGCAGCCAGGCGGTGTTCCATTCTCACAATGAGTTTCTCTCCCTCTCCCTTCCTCTCCAAAAATCAACAAACTTTTCTTAAAAAAAAAAAAAAAAAATCGGGGGGCCAGCAGTCTGGCTGCAGAGTGGGTGCTCCGAGACCTGGCCCGTGGGTGCCTCCAGACAAGGACGGAGGGGATCAGAGGGTGGAGATGGTTAGGCAGTAGGAGACTGCTCAGGGACGGGCGAGACCAGCGGTTCTCAACCTTCCTGACGCCGCGACCCTGTAACACAGCTCCTCATGTTGTGGTGACCCCCAACTTCATTGTTACAAATGGGACGTAATGAAAGCATCGTGATTCATCGCAAAAACAGTATGTAATTATAGATGTGTTTTCCGAGGGTCTTAGGCGACCCCTGTGAAAGGGTCGTTCGACCCCCAGGTTGAGAACCGCTGGGCTGGAGTGTCCCAACAAGACGGCATTATCTCAGCTGTGGGCAGCCTTCTTGGGTGTGGTGTGCCTGTGAGCGTGCATAGGTGAGAGGGCAGGGCGAGGATGGGCAGGGAGGCGAGGAGAGACTGAGGGTGTTGGCCACCCAGCTGGCAAGGGCGGGGCTTACACCGAAGGAAAACCTCCCCTGAGAAGTTGCCTAGGAGCCACTTCGAAGGGTGTGGACTTGGGGGCGTCCCGGATCATTGATTGGAATGAATTGAGAAGTTTGTCTGCAGAGATGGGCCCGAGCCACCGTGGCTCAGTGAATAGGGCATCGGCCTGGGGATCAAAGGGCCCCGGGTTCGAGTCTGGTCAAGGGCACGGACCTTGGTTTCAGGCTCCTCCCTGGACCGGGCCCTGGTTGGGGCGTGTGCAGGAGGCAACCCATCGACGTGTTTCTCTCACATGGATGTTTCTCTCCGTCTTTCCTTCTCTCAAAGATCAATGGAGAAATAACCTCGGGCGAGGTTTAACAGCAGCTGAGTGTCGACCTAAGAACCAGGTCACTGTCCGATCCCCTGTCAGGGCACGATCCCCGTGTGGGGCATGCGGGAGGCAGCGGATCAATGATTCTCTCTCATCGTTATATTTCTCTCTCTCTCTCTCTCCCTCTCTGAAATAAAACAGTTATATTTTTTTTAAAAAAGTTTGTCTGCAGAGAAGAGATAATGGGGAGTGGGGCCAGAAGGGGCAGCGAGAGCCAGACCTTGCAGTTGTAAGGGATGGAGATGGATTGGATGTCGATGTCCTGGCAGTCTCATACCACCCAGAACGTAGACACCAGCAGGAGAAGGCAGAGAGAAGCATCCGGTAGCACGGGGCAGATGGGGCAGGCACCCAGGTGGGAGGGGCTGAGAGGGCAGGGCTGTGCTGGGGGGGCAAGGTGAAAACCAGGGTGACAATGTGCTCAGGATTATTATTTTTTTTAAAAAAGTCTGTTTTAATTATAGTTGACGTGCACTCTTAGATTCAGGTGTACACATAGTGATTAGGCATTTAGGTACCTGGTGCTTTTCTTGGTAAGTCTGGTTCCCGGCACCATTCACAGTTAATGTGATGTTAGTGCCTGCATTCCCGAGGCTGTACTTTCCAATCCATGGGATTATTTTTATAACAGGCAGATTGTACTTCTTGATCCCCTTGACCTTTTCACCCGTCCCTCAACCTATCTGACAACCATCAGTTTGTCTCTGTATCTGTGAGTTTGTTTCTATGTTGTGTTTTAGATTCTGCATGTAAGTGAAATTATAGTTTTTATTTTTCTGACTTAGTTTACTGAGCATAATACACTCTAGGTCCATCCGTGCTGTCACAAATGACGAAATTTCATTCTTTTTCTTAGCCAAGTAATATTCTGTTTGTAGATATATGTGTGCCACAGTTTTTTCATCCACTCATCTATTGACGGACACGGGTTGCTTCCATATCTTGGTTATTGTAAATAATACTGCAGTGAACCTAAGGGTGGATACGTTCTTTCAAATCAGTGTTTCAGGTTTCTTGGGATAAAGTTCCCAAAGGGAGTCATTGGGTCATAAGGCGGCTCCATTTTAAATTTCTTGCGGTGACTCCACACTGTTGTCCACGGTGGCTGTGCCCTCTGCATGCTCACCAGCAGGGCACTCGGGTTCCGTTTGGACGATGCTTTAGCCAAATGAGCCACACCAGCCAGGGCTCTGCAGATTGTTCAGTTGGATTTTCTTTTTTTATGTTGAGCTGTCTGAGTTCTTGATACACTAGTATATAGGATATTAACCCCTTATCAGATATGTCTTTTACAGATGTCTTCTCCCATTCATAAGTTGCCTTTTTGTTTTGTTGATGGTTTCCTTTCAGCACAAAAGCTTTATAGTTTAATATACTTCCGTTTGTTTATTTTTGCTTCTGTTTCCCTTGCCCTAGGATACAATATCTAAAAATGATTGGTAGGCCCTAGCTGGTTTGGTTTAGTGGATAGAGCGTCAGCCTGTGGACTGAAGGGTCCCGGGTTCAATTCTGGTCACATGCCTGGGTTACGGGCTCGATCCCCAGTGGGGGACGTGCAGGAGGCAGCCAGTCAGTGATTCTCTCTCATCATTGATGTTTCCATCTCTCCCTCTCCCTTCCTCTCTGAAATTAATAAAATATAAATATGTATATATATATATACACACATACATACATACATGTGTGTGTGTGTGTGTGTGTGTGTGTATTTAAAAAAATGATTGATAGACTTGGCTGGGTGGCTCAGTTGGTTGGAGCATCGTTCCATACACCACATGGGTGCGGATTCGATCCCTGGTTGGGCATTTATGGAAGGCAACTAATGAAGTTTCTCTCACATGCATTTCTGTGTGTGTGTGTGTCTCTTTTTCTCTAAGATCAATGAATATATCCTTTCGTGAGGATTTTTAAAAATTAAATAAATAAAAATTATTGGTAAGACCAGTGTCAAAAGTTTTTTCCTTTTTTTTTCCATTTAAGTCTTTAATCCAGTGTGAGTTTATCTTTGCATGTGGAGTTAGAAAGTGGCCTAGTTTCATTTTTCTTCATCTATCTGTTCAGTTTTTCCCGTCACCATTTCTTGAAGAGACTGTCTTAACCTTTTGTCATGGGTTGACCATATAAGCGAGGTTTTATTTCTGGACTGTCTATCCTGCTATTCTGGCCCAGGCAGTGGGGCAGCATTTTGGCACCTCCAGGATGTCTGGAGGGAGGGTGCATGTGGGACGACACCCCTCTTTCGTAGTGTCCTTTGCTGTCCTGGGGATTCTCATATCCTCCTTGTCACCATCCCCCACACACATGTTTTGAAACTGGCAGATGTTTCCTTGTAATATTTTAAATTGTGCAAAAACAGTTTTTGAAACCAGGTCATGCTTCACTATTGTCTGAGAACTGTACAGGTTTTCTTTGCTTTCTTTCTTTCTTTTTTTTTCCAAACCATTAGAATATTTTATATATATTCATTTATTTATTTATTTATTTGGTGCCGGGACTCAGATATATATTTTTTAATTGATTTCAGAGTTGAACGGAGATAGAGAATCATTGAGCAGCTGTCTCCTGCACGCCCCCTACTGGGTATCAGGCTCACAACCCAGGCGTATGCCCTGACCGGGAATCGAACCATGACCTCCTGGTTCGTAGGTAGACGCTTAACCACTGAGCCACACCGCCCAGGCTCATTGCAATAATTAAAAATTATACAATTGCTTTGACACCCTGCCTTTATCTCTCCCATTCATTCTCTTGAAATGACAGGAAAAAAAAAAACTGACCTGTTTGTTTGTATGTTGAGGGAAAACTGTGTCTGTGAGATCACAGTTCAGACACCACAGCACGCGCCTGAGCATTTATTTCCTTTAGCCTGGGGGCAGCTCAGGACCATCCCCAGCCCAGACCTGAGCAGGCTGGACCCGCTTCCCCACTGGGAAGCCGGCGTGGCTTTCCTCAGAGTCCTGCCTTCCTGCCCCTCATACCCAAAGGCAATGCCCTTCAGCTGGAACATTTCTCTCCTTTTTGGGGGTGGGGTGGGCTCGGGGGTGTGGGGGTGCTGAGGAGGGGCTGACTCCCTGATTGTGCCTCCACCACTAGCACTGCCCCCTGAGGACGGCTGCCCCCTCTGAGACGGCGTCTTCAGGTCTGAGGAGGAAATGGAAGTGTGTGCTCAGCCAGTCCCATCCCAGGTGAGTTGGAGACCTTGGCTATGTTTGCCTCTCTCTCTCCTCAGCTGTAAAGTGGGTCCAGGAATATAGCATTCGCCGCCCCAGGAGCCACGATGCTGCCTTATTCCTTTGGGTGAGACCCCCGGGCTCCCTGCAGATCCAGCTCCCTCCCTGTGTGGGTGAGCCAGGGGTTCCTGGGGCCTCCTGTACCTGGTGCCCTGGGCCAGGTCTCTTTCCCTCGCGTCCAGACGGGGATGGGATGCTGCCTTCATGGTCACGTCAGGGCAGCTCACGCCTGAGAAGTTCAGGGACTCAGTTGTGAAGCTGAGATGCCACATTGGGCCTGGCACCCAGGGTCAGGGTGCGTGACCCCTCACCTGCCAGCCTTCCTCGAACGCCTGCTCCATCCGTGTTTTCTGTAAAGGACCAGGTGGTGGGAACTGCCTTAGGCTCTGCAGGCCACCTGTGTTCGCTCCCCCATGTTCTTTTTGTGCCTGGCCTTTGAAAACAGTAAAATCCCTTTTTAGCTGCGTTAGGTCTCCTGCAGCTGCTGTAACAAAATAGCACGGACTGTGTGGCTCAGGCAGCATTCATTTTCCCACGGTTCTGAAACCCAACAGTCTGAGACCAGGGGCCAGCACAGTTGGTTTCCTGACGACCCTCCTCCCCGCTTGCTAATTCTCTGTGTCCTCAACGGTGGAGAACGAAGTCTCTGGTGGTCTCCTTTTGAGGGCACCAATCCCACTGCATTAGGGCTCTGCCCATAGAACCCCCATAACATTGTTTTCATAAAGGCCCTCTCCCCAAATGCAGTCACATGGTGGGGTAGGACTTCAACGTGTCAATCTGGGGGAGAACAGTTTAGCTCCTGGCATTAACCTTCTGAGAGCGCACACAGTCTTGGCCTGTCTGCCGGGCTGTGTTTTGCTCATCTACAACTTTGAACGTCCTCTTTGCCTTTAAATCTGTGATTTTGTGGAAAAGTAGTGGGTGGAGTTCCTGCTGTTTCCTGGGACAGAAAGTCAGAATCAGTGGAGTGACCAGCAACAGACAGGCCCTCAGAAGTGAAGACGCTGTGGACTGACTGCATTGGTGTCCGACCAGAGCACTGCCCAGAGGCGGGAACCCTGTGGATGCTCTGGACACCACACCACCCACACCCCCTCCCTCCCTTCGCCGTCCTGCCCCCCTCAACCTTCCTGTCGGGGGGGCAGGGCCCCTTGGTAACACAGGCGATGTTTCAGCTCCCCGTGAGCCTCAAGGATGTGGTGGTGAGCTTCACACATGAGGAGTGGGGACGGCTGGACCTGGTCCAGAAGACACTGTACCGCGACGTGACTCTGGAGACATGTGACCACCTTGTCTCTCTGGGTAAGCTGGGCTCTACCCATCGCATGGGCTTTCTGCCCCTGGAACTCCGAGTTCTGACTCCAGGGAGGTGCTTGTGCTGGGTGATCCCCAGAGTGGGTGACTGTGTGTGTGTGTGTGTGTGTGTGCGTGCGCACGCGTTTGCTTGCAAATAAAACCTACACTTTAGTAAGGTCCACAGATAACTGTCATTCTTTACAGTAAAGAGAAACTAATATAAAGACTGATAATCCTTTCTCTTAGGAGGAAACATATTTCTGGACTGTCTATTCAGTTATTCTGCTAGAACACCTTATATTTTGTAAAATTACAGAATATATATATATTTCTGTTCATTTGTTGTTTGTTTATCCTTCATCTTAAATTGTGTCTTTAAGAGCTAACCCTATACTCAGGACAGAAGTGAGTCCCTTTTAGATGCCGATCCTGGGTATTGCTGTTCAGTCAGCCTCCACTGCATGTTTGTGACTTATTTCCTAGGAATGGCTCCCGGGCCCTCCTGGTCCGTCCCGGTCTGACCCCAGGGGAGAGGGCTGGGCCTGGGGACACAATCTCTTTCTCTGGAAGCAGAGCATCAAGTACTTGGTTTTTCCCTATTGACCAGGACTTCTGCTCCCCACTGCGGATGTGACCTCCTGCCTGGAGCGAGGTGCTGGTCCGTGGAGGGCGGGGCAGGAACCGCCCGAAGGTGAGAGCATTTCGTTAACTTGGGCAGAGCATTTCGTTAACTTGGGCAGAGGAGGGGGGGCAGGAACCACCCAGAGGTGAGAGCATTTCGTTAACTTGGGCAGAGGAGGGGGAGTAGGAACCGCCCCCGGAGGTGAGAGCATTTCGTTACCTTGGGCAGAGGAGGGGGAGCAGGAACCGCCCCCGGAGGTGAGAGCATTTCGTTAACTTGGGCAGAGGAGGGCGGGGCAGGAACCGCCCAGAGGTGAGAGCATTTCGTTAACTTGGGCAGAGGAGGGGGGAGGCCATTTGCGGAAGCTTCCTCGGCGTTCTCTGCTGCCTCCTCATGTCCAACAAGACAGCCATGTCGTCATCCGTGGGTCCAGCCCAGCAGGAACACTCGCTGCTGCCGCCTGCACATATCTCAGGCCTGGGTTTGTTTCTGTTCCCGTTTCCCTCTCTGTACCCTCAGCCACCTTGTCCTGTCCCCAGGCCTCCTGCCCTCTCTTTTTCACCAGCCCCTCATCCTAGCTTCCACTTGAGGAACCAGTCCTCAGGTGTCCTTTCAGTTTCTCTCTCATCAGTTATCTTTCTGTCCCTCTCTTCCTCTCCCTTCCTCTCTCTGAAATCAATAAAAACATATTTGAGCCCTAGACAGTTTGGCTCAGTGGATAGTGCGTCAGCCTGCGGACTGAACGGTCTTAGGTTCAATTCCAGTCAAGGGCATGTACCTCGGTTGCAGACTCCTCCCTGGCCTGGGCCCTGTTCTGGACTCGTGCAGAAGGCAACCAATCAATGTCTTTCTCTTAAATCGATGTTTCTGTCTTTCCCTCTCTCTTCCACTTGCTCTAAAAAAATCAATAGAAAAATATCCTCACGTGGGGATTAATTAATTAAAAACATATTAAAAAAATAAATAAGGTACCATATTCTTAGGTCCCAGCAACTTGGCCTCAATATCTTTTGTGCTTATTGAGGACCACATGTCCTCAGATCAGTTCCTTCTATACATTCTCGCCCTGACCGGTTTGGCTCAGTGGATTGGATAGAGCGTCGGCCTGTGGACTGAAGGGTCCCAGGTTCGATTCCAGTCAAGGGCGTGTACTTGGTTGCAGACACATCCCCAGTAGAGGGTGTGCAGGAGGCAGCTGATTGATGTTTCTCTCTCATCGATGTTTCTAACTCTCTATCCCTCTCCCTTCCTCTCTGTAAAAAATCAATAAAATATATTTTAAAAAGAAATACTTACATTCTCGTGCTTATATATATATCTTTATTGATTTCAGAGAGGAAGGGAGAAGGAGAAAAGGAGAGATAGAACATCATTGATGAGAGAGAATCATTGATAGGCTACCTCCTGCACGCCCCCCACTGAGGATTGAGGCTGCAACCCAGGCATGTGCCCTTGACCAGAATCGAACCCAGGACCCTTCAGTCCGCAGACCGACGCTCTAGCCACTGAGCCCAACCAGCTAGGGCTCGTGCTTATTCTTACTTCCCTACTCCCTCTTTGGGTATCAGCTCTCCTCAATCAGCTCTTCATTACCTTTGCTTGTTTTTTGTGCTTCTTCACTGATTTCCTATTTGCTGGTCCATCCCACTCTTTTACATCCTGCATGGAATTATAGTTCATGGACTCTAAACAAACCCAGAGACACCTCTCATACTTGGTGTTTTCCTTCATTCTCCTTCCCATCTAAGGCTTTTGCAGTCATTCAGGCATTTTGGATTTCTTTCAGAGTGGAAGACTTCACTTGAAAAGAAAGAGTCCAGTTCTGAAGAGGCTATTGGTGTGGAAGAACCATCCTTCCACATGGAAATGAAACGCTGTATAGAGGGCCCCTGGTCTGTGTCAGTAGGAAAAATACAGGATTGGAGGGACCAGCCAGAGGAGCACCAGGAGGAATCTTTGAGTCAGATTGTACCTACCTCGGGGGAAAATGTGTCTGCTAAAGTGGAACATTGTGAGCATGACCTTGGCGGAAGTGATCTGAGTGAAAGCCTTCTACCTCTGACATTACCTGCAAGAACACATTTGCACAAACTTGACTCACAGTTTCAAGAGTTGAAACAGAATTCAGTTTTCATTAATCATCAGAAAGGTGGTGCCCATCTGCAGCCCTGTGAAAATCTTGAAAGTGCCAGGGCCTTCTCTCAGAGCATTCACTTGAATAAACTTGCAAATGTTGAAACGGGAAATAATAAGACTTATGATTATACTGTTGACAGTGATTCTTTCCTCTATGGCACATATGTGCGTTTCCATAATAGAAGTTTTTCAGTAGAGAACAGAGATGATTGTAAGGACATTGGATATGTTAAGCACAGCATGTCCCTGAAAGAAAACAAGCCAGTGCATTTTGGAAAAAGTCAGGACACATGTGACAAACGCATTGTACAAACTGAAATAATTGTCGGTGATCCTGGATGTGAGGAGGATTATGGTGCCTTCTGTGCGGCCTCATCTGTTCATGACGGTGACATCATCCAGACCAGAAAGAAGCCACGCGCATGTAATCTACGTGGAAAATCCCGTAGCTGTTGCTCTGAGCTTGCGCACCAGAGGACACACACTGGAGAGAAGCCATATACCTGCAGTCATTGTGGAAAAGCTTTCAAATGGAGATATCTCCTCGTTGCGCATGAGAGAACGCACACTGGAGAGAAGCCTTATCAGTGTCACCTGTGTGTGAAATCCTTTAGGGGTCCGTCAGCTCTTCTAAAACACAAGAGAACCCACACGGGTGAGAAACACCATAATTGTAATGATTGTGAAAAGTTCTTTAACTGGCAGCGTCACCTTACTAGGCATCAGAGAATTCATAGTGGAGGGAAACCGTACTTGTGTACTCGCTGTGGAAACTCCTTCAGCCGTAGCTCTGACTTTGTTGCACATAAAAGGATTCACAGTGGAGAGAAACCATACGAATGTAACCACTGTGGGAAATCTTTCTGGGAGCGAAAACAGCTTCGTGCGCATCTGCGAACTCATGCTGGAGAGAAGACATTTTATGAATGCAGTCATTGTGGGAAAGTTTTCAAATGGAGGTCTCACCTCATTTTGCATCAGAGAACACACACTGGAGAAAAGCCTTATGAGTGTATTGACTGCGGGAAAGCCTTCAGTGATGGGTCATCTCTTAGAAAACATGAGAGAACACACACTGGCGAGAAACCCTACCACTGCGACCAGTGTGGGAAATCTTTTCGGCAACAGTCACAGCTTGTCGTGCACAAGCGAACCCATACTGGGGAGAAACCTTATGAATGCGGTCATTGTGGGAAAGCTTTCTGCCAGAGATCTGGCCTCATTGTGCATCAGAGAACACACACTGGAGAGAAGCCCTATAAGTGTAAAATTTGTGTTAAAGCCTTCAGCCAGAGATATCTCCTCATTGTGCATCAGAGAACACACACTGGAGAGAAGCCCTATCAGTGTGCCATGTGTGTGAAAGCCTTCAGTGGTCGTTTAGCTCTTAAAAAACACGAGAAGACACACATGGTCGAGAAACCCCATGAATGAATGTAATCATTGTGAAAAAGTTCTTTATGGGGCAGGCACCAGTGAATTCACACTGGAGAGACCATATTTGTGTGCTCATTGGGGAAAGTCCTTCTGCTGTAACTATCTTTCTTGCACATAAAAGGATTCACACTGGAGAGAAGCCCTATGAATGTAACCACTGTGGGGAAACTTTTTAGCAGTGATCAGAGCTTTGTGTATCTGCAGATTCATTCTAGAGGGAAGAAACCTTATTAATACAGTCATTGTACAAAAGGTTTCCAATGGAGATGCACCAGAGAACACACTGGCATGAAATCCTATAAATGTAATCACTATGAAGAGGCCTGTTCATGCTAGAGAGAAACCCTATAAGTGTAATGAATGTGAGAAGGCTTTCAATTATTACAAATCCCTTATTCAATATGAGACAACTCGGGGGAGAGGAACCCTGTGAGTAATTAAGATGGAAGAGCTCAACGCCAGAACTTCTTTTCTAGACAACAGACAACCACATGCACCAGAATTGCTTGGTGTGTACATTGAAACTGCAGATTACCAATCTTACCCTGACTTACAAAGTCAGAATCTCTATCAGTAAAACCCAAGAGCCTGTCATTTCCCAAAACAGCACAAGTTACCTGTATGTGCACTAAAATGTGTGTACGTATACATTTAGGTGAGAAGGTATGACCATGACAGCTGATGGAAAGTTTTCAAAGCTTTTAGCAGGAAATGGGAAATTCAGAATGGAACTGTGTCCATCACACTATCATTTTATTGCAAACAACCACCCAAACTTAATCAGATGTTATCCCTATAATACATTCGTAGAAATGATAAGGTATTGGAAGGTTTGTTCCCCCCCAAAAAAGGCTGAAGTGTGTATCAATAATGGTGAAGTGGAGAGGCCATCACTGCAGATTTGAGCAAAGTGAAAGCAGGTGGGAGACCATCGCCTGGAGATGCAGAGTGGAAAAGGCTAAAGCCAGGACCATGAAGAGAGGGCTGTGGCACTGGAGGTCTCAGCCCCTTGGCAGAGTTTCAGACTAACAGTTGGGGCAGAAAAGCAGGGTTAACTGATGGTCCGTTGGTGAAATTCCAAGTTTCCTCCCTCTTCTTGTTTTGCATTATCTGCCTGTGGCTGAGCAAAATAAAATAGGGAGTAAATGAGGTATCCCCCCCCCAAAAAAAAAAATTTAGTCTGGAGACTAGGAGATTGATGCTCCAGAACAAGGGCTGCCTTTTCTTGGCATCTCAGTTCCCTTCATCCTAATACCTGGTTCTGGCCCCACTCCCTTCAAAGCAAATCTTGCCATTAAACAAGCTTCCCTCCCCATCTATGGAGGCTCCCATGTTTTTCCAGATAGTCTCTTCAATATAGATGGAAGGTAGGGAGCAAGAGACGTGAAAGCTTTCAATGTGAAAGGAAAACGGATTAAGAAAAGAAAGAACAGATACTTGGGCAACCGAACATTTAAAATGGAGATTGAGCCAAGAAATAATTGCAAATGAAAATAAGTCTAAGATAACTCTAGAGAGTTATGAGGACAAAAATACACTATAATTGGCTAAAAAAAAAAGAAAGTTGGAGAAAAGGAAACTCCTGCAGAGCTGAAAGAAAATCTTAAGATCATGCCAAATACTGTCCAGGATTAGTGGGATCCATGTAGCATGAGAATTTGAGAAATTGAGAATACTGTAGTCAAGAAAACATTGTAGAAACTTCTGGAGAGTATAAGTTTAAGGGAATTTTTTTAAAAAGGAGTGTTCTAACGGTGGGGGAGAAGGGGTGTGTATCGGAACTCTAGGGTAAACAAATTGTTAAAAAGAAACAAATATACGAGACAGTTGTAGTCCAGGTGTGAGCCAGACTTTAGAAAGGAGTCTTCATTTGACTGTGATGTTAATGTTTCATCCTAGAAAAGGCAGAGGACTCATGAGATTGGAATAAAAGAGGGAGAAATATACTCAGATTGTTTTGCTTGGCCCTTCACTAAACACTATTTTTATAACTAGTATAAACAGTAGGTGCTGGTTTTGCATTTTACCAAGAAACTCGGAGGTGTAATGGCGAATTTGGGGGTGGGGTGTAGGGGAGTTTCTCTGCATCCTCATCTTAGGAAGTTAGCTTTTAGATAGAATAGGTTAGGTTACTTAGGAGGCCAAAATTATAACGTGAAACAGTGATGGGACAAAAATTGGAATCAAAGAGGATCACAGAACTAAGTAAAATCTTACTTCCTTATCCAAGAAGGAAGGCAGTACAGTGTGTAAGCCATGGAAGGTCAGAATTACAGACACAGCCTTATTTAGGAACTGGAGTAAAAACGGTTAAAAGTAGTCGGTGGAATGTGTGGCTGTTGGGTAGGGTGGAGCCGGAGACAGTTGCTTTCCACGTTAAGCCTGTCTTTCCTTCCCTGGCACACTTCTTATTCGAGTAACTTCATATATGTACCCATAGGTGAGCAAGACAGTGTACATGAGGACAATTGCAGGTGATTTGTGGGATTATGTACACTTTCCCTTTTTTTGATTCACTATTGCTGTAAAAGTAAACTGGCAATTTAAGCAGCAGGCGTGAGAGGAAAATACGTCAGACTCTCCTGTTTGCCTCATTACAGTAGGACAGAAAGTCTCCTTGGCTTCGTAGAAGTCATTGGAATTAAAGATGGGTTAATGTTATTTGTTTGTTGGTTTGTTTGTTTTTTTTTAATATATTTTAATTGATTTTTCACAGAGAGGAAAGGAGAGGGATAGAGAGTTCGATCAGTTGCCTCCTGCACACCCCCCACTGGGAATGAGCCCGCAACCAAGGTACATGCCTTTGACCGGAATCAAACCCAAGACCCTTCAGTCCGCAGGCCGACGCTCTATCCCCTGAGCCAAACCGGTCAGGGCTGGTTTGGTTTTGATTGATTTCAGAGGAAGGGAGAAACAGAAACATATGATGAGAGCGAATCACTGATCAGCTTCCTCCAGCACTCCCCTCACTAGGGACGGAGTCCGCAACCCAGGCATGTGCCCCAACCTGGAATTGCATCGTGACCTCCTGGCACATAGATTGATGCTCAACCATTGAGCCACACTGGATGGGCTGTTTTTAAGACTTGATACTGCAGAAGCCTCATCAGGAAGTCACTGTGGGCCTGGAGAGGGGGTTCGTATCCTGGGACAACTAGGCAGGGTCCGTCTGAAGAGGAAAGGCAAGTGTGTGGCCCTAACCAGTGTTGCTCAGGGTTAAAGCCTTGGCCTGTGCACCAGAGGGTCTTGGGTTTGATTCTTGGTCAAGGGCACGTACCCGGGTTACAGGTTCGATCACCGGCACCAGTCAGGACCAGTGTAGGCGGCAAGCGATGGATATTTCTCTCCCACTCCCAATGGACAAAAATAATCTCAAGTGAGGATTAATAAATAAGACGTGTGGGAATTGGCATAGCCACAATTACTCACTGTATTTCCCCAAGTGCCTTCAGGCAGTTGATGGCACCTTTCATAACATCCTTTAGGTAACAGCCCTTGTGATTCATAGGGGACCACCTTGTGATGGGCGGTCTGTACAGGGCTGGTGGGGGCTTTGCTTCTTGGGACACTTGGCCCTGCTGCCCCAACCAGTACAGTTCTGCAGCTTTCAGAAGGTGGAGCCTGGGAGGAAGGACCCACCCAACAGATCCAGCAAAGTGAATGTTTGACATTATACACACACACACATACATACAGTGGGGCCTTGACTTACGAGTTTAATTCATTCCATGATGGAGCTCATAACTCAAATTACTTGTCAAATCACTGTGACGCTCGCTGTGCCAACTAGCGGTGGGATATCTGAAGCTGGTTCGTAACATGAATTTTTTTGAGCTTGCAACTCAAAGCAAAAAATCGGCAGAGAGATGGCTCGTATCTCAAAAAAACTCATTAGTCGGGACACTCGTAAGTCAAGGCCCCACTATATATATATGTTGATTTTAGAGAGGAAGGGAGACCGCAACCCAGGCATGTGCCCTTGTCCAGAATCGAACCTGGGACCCCTCAGTCTGCAAGCCGAGGCTCTATCCACTGAGCCAAACCGGCTAGGGCTTGTGTGACATTCTTGTCCAGACATCTAAGCAAGTTCCACTCAGTAAGTCCTGAAAGTAGCTTTGTTCAGTGAAGGTGCTACTGGAGTCTCAGAATGTGTGTCTGAGGTCCCAGGGTACTATTCACGTCCCTTCTCTCCAAAATGGGGAGCCCACACAGGCTCTGTGGCTATGTGCTCCTGGAGGCAACCCCCAGTGGGAATCACACAGAGACATCTGTGTGCAGGAAGTGGGAGGACGGGGTGTCTGCAGTGAGTGCGTCCGGCCCTGCCTGAGAGGTCTTCTGCCCTTAACAAATCAGAAACCTGAGGCTCTTAAGGACCCAAGAACTGGGCTCATTTAAAATGGGAACCTAAGACCTTCCCACCTGAAATGATTCTCATACTGTGCGTAGGACCCACCTGAAAAAGGTGTTGGAATTGCAGGTTTCTGGGCCCATTTTCAGAGAGTCCATCTGGTCAGGCTTAGGTGGTACCTGGATATTTGTGTAGTTTGAGGGCACTTTCTGTAACCTATATTTGTAAACATTTTGTATTCTCAAAATTGTATATTTATGCCCAGCCAGTGTGGCTCAGTGGTTGAGCGTCGACCTATGAACCAGGAGGTCATGGTTTGACTCCTGGTTCAGGGCACATGCCCAGGTTGTGAATCCGATCCCCGGTGTTGGGCATGCGGAGGCAGCCAATAATGATTCTGTCTCATCACTGATGTTCCTGTCTCTCCCTCTCCCTTCCTCCCTGACATCAATAAAAATATACTTTTTAAAATTGTATATTTATGTTTCCTTTTTGTTGGTTTCACTTGAAGTTGTCACTTAGGTCAAAAGAAGACCCGAAAGAGAAACCACACCTATTTTGTCTTACCGCCGGCTGCTTTAAATATTTCAGAGAGGAGGGGAGAGGGGGAGAGAGAATCATCAATGATGAGAGAGAATCATTGATGGGCTGCCTCCTGCATGCCCCACACTGGGGATCGAGCCCACAACCAGGGCATGTGCCCTGACCGGGAATCTAACAGAATTCCCGGTTCATAATCCTACACATAATGTGTTTTGGGTTTTTTTTATTATAAAGCAACTTAATTTTTGCCTTTGTTCAATGGAAGTTCTTCTGTCCCATGACCTTTCCGTTCCCTTTCAGATAACTCCGCCTGGAAAACACTTTTAGGTAAGGTGCTTAGAGGATCCAGTGCCACAAAATAGCTCATGAACTTCCTTCAAAATTACAGGCCCTCTCCCTCCCTCAGCTTCCTGCCAGCCACCTGAGGGGAAGGCAGCTCCCTTCCGCTCCCTCCTCTTCTCCCTCCGTCTCTCTGGCTGTAGTTTCTGACTCCACTGGGGATGCTGCCAGGGAAGAACGCGGAGAGGAGAAGGGAATGGGATCCCTCTTAATTCTCTAACACGTGTATAAGGTGGTTTTGTGCTTTCTGAGCCGTGTAGGTGGTTCAAAGTCTCTCTCATGCGGGCACTTTCATGGGCTTCTTAGGGATACTCCATCCCTGGGGGTCTTTTCCCTACCATTTTCTTATCAGGTGGATGCCTTTAAGGTTGCTTTCCCGCCCTAACTGGTGTGGCTCAGTGGATAGAGCATCGGCCTGCGGACTGAAGGCCCGGGTTAGATTCCGGTCAAGGGCATGTACCTTGGTTGCGGGCACATCCCCAGTGGGGGGGGGGGGGGGTGCAGGAGGCAGCTGATCGATGTTTCTCTCTCATCTGTTTCTAACTCTCTATCCCGCTCCCTTCCACTCTGTAAAAAATCAATAAAAAATATATATTAAAGCCGAAACCGGTTTGGCTCGGTGGATAGAGCGTCGGCCTGCGGACTGAAAGGTCCCAGGTTCGATTCCGGTCAAGGGCATGTACCTGGGTTGCGGGCACATCCCCAGTGGGGGGTGTGCAGGAGGCAGCTGATCAATGTTTCTCTCTCATCTGTTTCTAACTCTCTATCCCGCTCCCTTCCACTCTGTAAAAAATCAATAAAAAATATATATTAAAAAGAAAAAAGGTTGCTTTCCTCTTTCCTTGGCCCCAGGGAAGCTCCAGTTTCCGTCTGCTGAGGTTCATCCGCTCTCTGGGCATCCCCACTGAACAGCACAGCACGGGACCCCTGATGGAGCCTGCACTCGCTCCCTATGGCCGCACAACAAATTTCCACCATGAGATGCCTTGCAACAAGTTTGTTCTGTCACAGTCTGGGGACTAGAATTCTGGGATCGGGTGTCAGCAGCTCCCTGTGAAGGCTCTCAGAAGAATCCCTTGCCTCACCCTGGCTGGTTTGGTTCAGTGGATAGAGCATCGGCCTGTGGACTGAAGGGTCTCAGGTTCGATTATGGCCGAGGGCACATGCCTGGGTTGCAGGCTCGATCCCCAGTAGGGGGCGTGCAGAAGGCAGCCAATCAATGATTGTCTCTCATCATTGATGTTTCTATCTCTCCCTCTCCCTTCCTCAGAAATCAATAAAAAAAAAATTAAAAAAAAAAAGAATCCCTTGCCTGGTCTTGGATCCCCCCCACATCCAGAGATTTTCCAGATTTCATGGGACCCCATGTGTAGTTTTGTGCAGGTGATGTGCCGAGGATACACGGTTGGTTTGTAAAGGAAAATTCAGGCAGAGTCTGGGGAAATGCATGTGTAGGTTAACATCGCTGGCCCGCCTTTGAGGTGGTCACACACAGCACAGAACCTGGCAAGCGGGCACCTTCTGCCCAGCATGTGCCAAAGTCCACACTCCCAGAAGCAAAGCAGGGGCTCAGTGCAAATAACGTTCTTTTACTTTTTTTTTTTTTTTTCTTTCCAGAGACTGGGCACAGACAACACTCAAAGCCTACTTCCCGGGTGACAGCCAAGGGCCCACTTTACATTTTAGGACCTTGAACATGTGCAGCCTCAGTCTGCCGTGTTCACCCTTTTTCTGTAAGTTTCATACCTCTTCAAACATGAATACAGTTAGCCACAGAGCCTGTTCCATTAAGCTGCTTAAACGGCAGCTCTGGCCGAAACTGATTTGGCTCAGTGGATAGAGCGTCGGCCTGCGGACTGAAAGGTCCTGGGTTTGATTCCGGTCAAGGGCATGTACCTGGGTTGCGGGCACATCCCCAGTAGGGGGTGTGCAGGAGGCGGCTGATTGATGTTTCTCTCTCATCAATGTTTCTAGCTATCTCTCTCCCTCCTCTCTGTAAAAAATCAATAAAATATATTTTAAAAAAAAAAACCACAAACAAAAAGAAACAGCAGCTCTGGCTACACACATGGAGAAAGCACACGGGTCATCGAGTTCCTGCTTCATACTGGTTTTCAGGAACCTGTCCTCACACCTCAGTGTGCATGATGTTTCTTGCCATGATTCCATCTTGTAGTCTTGAGATAAGAGAACGTCATCAAAAAATCATATCATGCTGCAGGCCCTAACCGGTGTGGCTCAGTGGATAGAGCGTCGGCCTGCGGACTGAAGGGTCCCGGGTTCGATTCCGGTCAAGGGCATGTACCTTGGTTGTGGGCACATCCCCAGTGGGGGGTGTGCAGGAGGCAGCTGATCGATGTTTCTCTCTCATCGATGTTTCTAACTCTCTATCCCTCTCCCTTCCTCTCTGTAAGAAATCAATAAAATATTTTTTAAAAATCAATAAAATGTATATTTTTAAAAATCATGCTGCATTTCCCCCACCCCAATAAATAATATAAGGTTCAATTTAAGGCGCTCTCTCTCTTGGGCCGGCCAGAGCCTTTCCTTCACCCCCCTCTTCCCTGAGTCACCTGCCTTTGCTTCTTGAGTCCACGCAGCCTGGCTGGCTCACTTCCTCCACGTGTCACTTCTACCTCTGTGACTTTCTAAATATACTTCTGCTTGGATTTGAGTTCCTTGGCTCTGGTTTATTTGTTATTGATTTTAATATGTTTTTTTTAATACATTTTATTGATTTTTCACAGGAAGGGAGAGGGATAGAGAGTTAGAAACATCGATGAGAGAGAAACATCGATCAATTGCCTCCTGCACATCTCCTACTTGGGATGTGCCCGCAACCAAGGTCCATGCCCTTGACCGGAATCGAACCCGGGACCCTTCAGTCCGCAGGCCGATGCTCTATCCACTGAGCCACACCGGTTAGGGCTTAATATGGTTTTTTATTGACTTCTTTTAGAGAGAGAGGGAAAGGGATCAGGGATCGATAGAAATTGATGAGAAACATCTGTCCGCTGCCTCTTGGACGCCCCCTACTGGGGATGGAGCCTGAAACGCAGGCACGTGCCCTGACTGGGCGTCAAACTGGGAACCTCTCAGGTTCAAGGCTCAACTCCCAGCCGGAGCGACACCTGCCAGGTTTATTGATTTATTAGAGAGAGAGAGAGAGAGAGAGAGAGAGAGAGAGAGAGAGAGAGAGAGAGAGACCGATTTGTTGTTCCACTTACACAATCATTGGTTGATTCTTTTTGTTTTTTTTCATCGGTTGATTCTTATTGCGCCCTAACTGGGATCAAACCCTCAACCTCGGCACGCTCCCTGACCTGAATCGAACCCGCAACCTTTTCCATGTGCGGGATGACGCTCCAACCAACCGACCCACCCAGCCAAGGCGGTAGAAATATTTTTAGAGTCCGAGGCAGCAAGGTACCCCAAAGATAAAAAGGGGCCCTGGCTGGTGTGGCTCAGTGGGCAGAGCGTCGGACTGCGGGCTGGAGGGTCCCGGTTCGATTCCGGTCAAGGCCACACGCCCGGGTTGCGGGCTCGATCCCCAGTAGGGGGCGTGCAGGAGGCGGCCGATCCACGATTCTCTCTCATCATTGATGTTTTATCTCTCTCTTCTCCGAAATTAATAAAAATATATATTTTTAAAAAAGATAAAAAGGGGGCCCCCCAACGCCCGACTTAACACCAGCTCATCCAGTTCCGGCGTAGAGAGTGTTGTGAGGGGGGCGCAGGCGGGAGCCGCCGGAGAAGAGGTGCCGACCGCGGAGGCTGGGACGCCATCCCCGCCCCCCGCGTCTCCCCGGCGACACGGCCCCGGTCGCCCCACCGCCTCGTGTCACCGCATCCCGGAGTCGCCTCGGGCCCCATTGGCCGGAAGTCGGTAGGCGGAGGCTCCCATTGGCCCGATGCCAGAAGCCTCCTATTGGTCGAAGCCTCAACAACCGGAGACCCCATTGGTTGCGCGCTGCCACGCGCCGCGCGGCCTTCTGGGAGTTGTAGTCTGGACGTCCCCGGAGCGGCCGCCATTGTCCCGCGGTGGGCGAGCAGTAGCGGACCCTGCGGCGGGGGAGGCTCGCGGGTTTGGGGTCTCCCCGCGCTCTCGTCCTTGACCTCTCGGCCCCAGATGGACCCTGAGGAGGAAGCGGCCGCGTGGGCGATGGCGGTGGCGCCGGGGCCGCCGCCGGGACGGCCGCAGGTAACAGTAACAATAGCCGTAACGACGGCGGCCGCGGGCCCGGCCGGACGTCTCCCTCCGCGTCTGACCTTTCACCCCCGCGGCGCGCGGGGAAACTGAGGCGAGGCGGGCGTGCGCGGCCGCTCCCCCGCCTCCCGGGCTCGGATGCGGCTGAGGGTCCTTCCCGGGACCCTGGCCTGCGGGCCGGGCAGCCCCTCGGGAGGCGAGGAGACGTCAGGCGGCCCCGCCCCCCGTGAGGGGCGGAGAGATACCCCGGGCCCCGGCGAGTCCAGGCGGAGTGGCCGCTGCCTGTGCTTGTCTGGCTGAGCGTGACCTATGAACCGGGAGGTCAAGGTTCAAGTCCTGGTCGGGGCGCTGCGGGCTCGTGGGGGAGGGGGGGGTGCAGGAGGCAGCTGATGCCTGATCCTCTCTCATTGATGTTTCTCTCCCTCCCTCTCCCTTCCTCTCTCTAAAATCAAATTTTTTTTTAAAAAAAATGCCGCCCAGCTGGTGTGGTTCAGTGGATAGAGCGTCGGGCTGCGGACTGAAGGGTCCCGGGTTCGATTCCAGCCAAGGGCACCTGCCTGGGTTGTGAGCTCGATCCCCAGTGCGGGGCGTGCAGGAGGCGGCCGATCCATGATTCTCTCTCATCGTTGATGTTTCTATCGCTCTGTCCCCCTCCCTTCCTCTCTGAAATCAATAAATAAATTTTAAAAAAGAATAACTTTATTTAAAAAAATAATAATAATAATAAAAGTGCTGTTTCTCCCCATTGTAAGGAGACAAAAGTCAGAATTCCTGAAGCTGGCATCTTTGAACTTTTTTTTTTTTTAAATGCTCACTGGAGGATATGTTTACTGATTTTTAGCAGAAAGGGGCGGGGGGGGGGCGGACAAAGAGCGAGAGAGAGAGAGAGAGAGAGAGAGAGAGAGAGAGACATGGATGTGAGAGAGCAACATGGGTCAGCTGCCTCCTGCACCGGCCCCCACTGGGGATTGAGCCTGAGCCCCGGGCATGTGCCCTGACTGGGAATTGACCTGTGACCATCTGGTTCTATATATATATATATATATATATATATATATATATATATATTTTGTATTTATCATTATTATTTATTTGTTTGCTTATTTTTATAATTTTTTTTTTTTTTTTGTCTAAAGTTTTACATATGTCCCTTTTTCCCCAATTGACGCCCCCCCCCCCACCCCCAGCCATTCCCACCCGGGCAAGCCCCCACTGCCCCAGGGCCTGTGTCTGTTGGTTATGCTGATATGCATGAATACAAGTCCTTTGGTTCATCTCTAACCCCCCTCCCCTTCCATTTGTCTCTGGATCTATTCTTGTTCATTAGTTTATGTTGATCGTTATACCCCACACATGGGTGAGATCATGTGGTATTTTTCCTTCTCCGACTGGCTTATTTCGCTGAGCATAATGCTCTCCAGGTCCCTCCATGCTGTTGCAAATGGTAAAAGTTCCTTCTTTCTTACAGCAGCGTACGTAGTGTTCCATCGTGTAGATGCACCACAGTTTTCTAATCCACTCATCTGCTGATGGGCACTTGGGCTGTTTCCAGATCTTAGCTATGGTGACTTGTGCTGCTGTGAACATAGGGGTGCATATCTCCTTTCTGATTGGCGTTTCTGGGACTCCTGGTCCTTAGGTCTATGCTCAGCGGGGAGATAGAAACATGGTCAGCTGCCTCCTGCACGCCCCCCACTGGGGATTGAGCCCGAAACCCAGGCAGGTGCCCTGAGGGAGAAGCCAATGGGCAGCCCTTCTGCGCAGGGGAGGGCGCCGGGCCTGGAGACACTGTCCAGCCCGTTGGTGGGTTCTTGCACGTGCCCGGACCTGGGCTCACCCCTGCACCCGAGGCCTATGGGGACGGCGCTCTCCCTGCCAGGGCTCCATCTGCTTGGAGGTTTTCTCTTAGCTCCTTTGTTAGCTTTGTTATGTGGCCTTTACTCTTGAGTTGTACGATTTCTTTGTGTCTTCTGGATCCAGATCTTCTATCGGATTAGTGTGTGTGTTGCAGTTAGTACCTTCCATTACGTGGGTGTCTGTTCGCTGGAGTCTCCTCTGGGGCACAGGTTTTTCCTGTTGAGGGCGTTCCGTTTACTTCCTGCTTGTGCTTTTTGCTGTGTCTCTAAGAGTCCTTTGCCAAGTCCAAGGGCATGAAGATTATCCCTGTGTTTTCTTCTAAGAGTTCAGTCGCTTCGGCTCCTACGTTTACGTGAGGCAGGGGACCGACGTTATGCTTGTGCACGCGGCTCCCTGCTTGTCCTGGAGGACGTGTCTCAGCCACGCAGGCCCCGCCACAGCCCCGAGGAGGCAGGAAACGAGGAGGCCGTGTGGGTCCCTGCTCCGGGCTGCTTTTTGTTGTTGTTGTCAGTTCTCACCCGAGGACATTTTTCTGTTGATCTTTAGAGAGAGTGGGAGGGCGGGGGAGAGACAGGAAGAGGCACACACATCCATTGGTTGCCTCTGGCACGCACCCTGCCCAGGCCCGGGCATCGAGCCCTAACCGAGGTCCGTGCCCTTGACTGGAACGGAACCTGAGGCCCTTCAGTCCACAGGCCGGTGCTCTATCCACTGAGCCACACTGGCCAGGGCTGTGGGACACATTTTAGGTACATTGTATCAGTGTCTAAAAATTAAGAGTTTTCCCTTGAAAACATGACCTAATTTTCAGCTTCTCACCAGAGACGGGCAGTTCTGACCACTTGAGGCCGCGTTTCCCCACAGTCAGTTGAGTCCGGCTGCCCCTGTACACGGGGCCCATCCCCTGTCCCCTCCAGTGTCGGCCTCGGGTTAAACGCTCGCACTGGCCACGCCAGCCCTGGGAGCCTGCTCGGTCCCTGAGGGCAGGGGGTTTCCGACTCTTCACTGTAGCCCTCTTGTCAGAGCGGCCAGGCCTGGCTTTGAGCCTGAGGGTTCGTGTTAACTGTAGATGCATAACAAACCCTCCCAGGCCCAGGGCCTGACAGCAGCCGTTCCGTGGCCCACAGATCTGCGAGGCAGGAGTGCAGACGGCCTCTGTCCGCACCCTCACCTGTCTGAGACCAGTTGTAGGTCTGCGGGGGTGGTTCTGATCTCACTGGCGGCTCTCACATGTCCTCGCTTTGCCATCCACAGGGACATATAGAAGCCCCGTAGGTGCCAGCGAGACCCGGCTCACATCCCCAGAACATGCACTGTCAGGACCCTGGCTGCCGTCTCCTCCTCTTCCTGCGAACGCTGAGGGGACACCCAGCTGATTGATCCTGTGTGTGATGTTTCAGGAGCCGGTGACCTTCCGGGACGTGGCCGTGGACTTCTCCCCGGAGGAGTGGGGGCGGCTGGACCCGGCGCAGAGGACGCTGTACCGGGACGTGATGCTGGAGACCTTCGGGCACCTGCTCTCTGTGGGTGAGGCCGCTGCCCGAGCTGAGAGCAGATTCCTGCACTAATTCTTCATGGGTAGCAGGTCGTAGTTGCCTGGGGCTGGGGACCAGGACCTTGGGTTCTTCCCTGAGGGACGTGTGGACGGGGAGGTGTCCGCCCTTCTCTGTCCCGTGGCAGAGCCTCCTCCTGTGTGAGACTCCCCGCCTGGCGGTCAGGGGTCCAGGGCTGGGGGCGGGCTGCTGCTTCGTGTCCCGAGCAGAACCCACATTCCATGTCTCTGTTTCCAGGGCCTGAGCTTCCCAAACCGGAAGTCATCTCCCAGCTGGAGCGAGGCGCTGAGCTGTGGGTGGTGGAGCACGGACTCGCCCAGGGCTGCTGTCCAGGTGGGGATCCCTATGGGGCGCTGCTGGGAATGGGTGGTGAGCCGGGTCCTCCAGACCAGTGCTCACAGCGAAAGGTGACGGGGAAGGTCCAGAAAGGGGAAAGGGCGGGCGAGGCCAAGTCCAGAGGAAGGCAGCCTCCAGGCCGCTGTCCCCATGGGCTCCGGGTCACTGTCCCCGTGGGCTCCGGGTCGCTGTCCCCATGGGCCCCGGGTCGCTGTCCCCGTGGGCCCCGGGTCGCTGCTCCCCGTGGGCCCCGGGTCGCTGTCCCCGTGGGCCCCGGGTCGCTGTCCCCGTGGGCCCCGGGCCGCTGTCCCCGTGGGCCCCGGGCCGCTGTCCCCGTGGGCCCCGGGCCGCTGTCCCCGTGGGCCCCGGGCCGCTGTCCCCGTGGGCCCCGGGTCGCTGCTCCCCTGGTGCTGAGTCTGGTGGTGGTTGCAGCAGCCAGAGAAAATGGGTCCACCTTCACCTCAGTGCACTAAGCAGGGAGCCCTCCTGGGCCTGGGGGCCTCGGCCCTGCAGCTCCCCAGGGTGTCCTGAGGTGGGCACCCTGCTTGCTTGTGGCCTGTGACTCGGGTTTTATAAAACTGAGCTGCTCGCCTGCCCTGAGCCCCCAGGCTGCTGCTCCAGGCTTCGTTCAGCGTCTGCTCCCAGCTCCTGACGGCAGGCTCTCCCTCTGTTGGGGTGACTGCTTGATCCCCAGCATCTGAGGTCAGATAGCAAGTGTTTTAGGCTTTGCAGGCTGCGTGTAGTCTGTTTTCTATCACCATGAAAATAACAGCTTAAAACAACACACATTGGGCAGGGAGAGCGGGTGGGCTAGAAGGGGTCAATGGTGGGAAAAGGGGTATTTGTAATACTTTCAACAATAAAGGTAAGTTTTATAAAAACAGTCACACACACTGATGTCTAAGTTCTGTCTGTCAGACCCGGCTGGTTTTCCTGCTCCGGGTCACGTGGCCATAGTCACGTCAGCCAGGCTGGGGTGGGCTCACTGGGAGGCCGCACCGGGCTGCTGGCCAAGTTCAGCTTTGTGCGTCCTGGGACTGAGGGTCCCGGGTCTTTGCAGACCATCGTCCAAGGGCTGTTCTCAGCTCAGAGGCTCCTGCACTCCTGACTGATGCCCCTGCACAAGCGCTCCCCGTCCTCCTCCCTCGTCCCGTAAACGTTGAGGGGGTGGCTTTGAGACCACCCGGGTAACCCAGATTCTTTTTTCTTTTTTTGTATTTTTTATTTTAATCCTCACCAGAGGATATTTTTTCCATTGATTTTTAAAGAGAGTAGAAGGGAAGGAGGGGCAAGAGAGAGAGAGAGAAATTGATGAGGGAGAGAGGCCCACTGATAGGGTGCTTCCACATGTTCCCTAAATATGTTTTTATTGATTTTAGAGAGAGGAAGGGCAGAGAGAGAAACATTGATTGGTTGCCTCCCTCATGCACTCTGACCAGGAACCAGACCCACAGCCCAGGCATGTGCGCTGACCGGGAATCGAACCGGTGACCTTCGGTGCACTGGACGTGCTCAGCCAATAGCCACACCGGCCGGGGCCCATCTCCCTGCTGTGAGGGTCCAGGGCAGCTGATGGCGACCTTCCTGCCGCCTGCAGACCCTCCAGGCAGTGCCCCCGTGGCTGCGACTGGACCGCAGGCCGGAGGTTAGAATTCTGCCTGTGGTGCATTTTTTTTTTTTTTTCTACAGACAGACCCTTTTCAAACACAAAATCCTGATCACTTATGTGATATAACGTCTAATCACTGGGTTGTCCATTTAAACTAAATATACCGGTACCGGTATTGTATGTCAGCTGTGAGTGAAAAAGTAAAAACTAAAGTTTAGAAACAAACTAACATAAAGGCCACCCGTCGCTGGGGTACCTCGCTTTCCGCCTGTGCTCTGGGCGGCCGCCCCGCCCGGGGAGGGGCCTGGAATGGGGTCGGAGGATGGGTGAGGGCAGCGGTGGGTGCAGCCGGGCACTGGCGTTGGCATCAGAGCAGACCTCGGCCTGGGGGGGGGCGGGCGGGGGGGGCAGGCCGACTCCCCTGTTCCTTCCCGGCCTCATAGCTCTGCTTTCTTCCAGGCTGGGACCCGGGACCTGAAGGGCCCGCGCCGCCCGCGGGGCAGGTCCTTCCTGAGGAGGCGCCGTCCAGCGTCGCGGACAGGACAGGCCTCCCGGGGGCCGCCGCCCGCCCCGCCCCGGGGGAAGGCTGGGGCGAGGAGGACCAGGGCGGCTCCCGGCCCGCGGAGTTCCGCCTCGAGGCAGCACCCGCTCCGGGGAGGAGCCCCGAGAGCCCCGGCCCCGGGGAGAGCCGTGCCCCGAGCGCAGACCTGGGCCCGTTCCCCGCGGCCCCCGGGAGCGCGGCCTCCTGTCCCTCCGACTCGCCGGCCACAGACTCGGGGGCCCATCCCCGCGCCCCCGGCCAGCAGCCCGGCTCCTCGGAGCCGCCCTGGGACGGCGGGGCCCTGGCGGAGCTCGCGGCCGGCCCCCCCGAGAAGCCCTACAAGTGCGCGGACTGCGGCAAGGCCTTCAACCACAACGCGCACCTCACGGTGCACAAGCGCATCCACACCGGGGAGCGGCCGTACATGTGCAAGGAGTGCGGCAAGGCCTTCAGCCAGAACTCCTCGCTGGTGCAGCACGAGCGCATCCACACGGGCGACAAGCCCTACAAGTGCGCCGAGTGCGGCAAGTCCTTCTGCCACAGCACGCACCTCACCGTGCACCGCCGCATCCACACGGGCGAGAAGCCCTACGCCTGCCAGGACTGCGGCCGCGCCTTCAACCAGAACTCCTCGCTGGGCCGGCACCGGCGCACGCACACCGGCGAGAAGCCCTACGCCTGCAGCGTGTGCGGGAAGGCCTTCTCGCGGACCACCTGCCTCTTCCTGCACCTGCGGACGCACACGGAGGAGCGGCCCTACGAGTGCAGCCACTGCGGCAAGGGCTTCCGGCACAGCTCCTCGCTGGCGCAGCACCAGCGCAAGCACGCGGGCGAGAAGCCCTACGAGTGCCGCCAGCGGCTCATCTTCCAGCAGGCGGCGCTCGCGGCGCACCCGTGGGCGGGCGCCCTGGGCTGCGACCCGGCCCTGGCGCCGGGGGAGAGCGCCCCGCGCAGTGACCGGCCCTTCCGCTGCGGCCAGTGCGGGAAGTGCTTCATCCAGAGCTCGCACCTCATCCGGCACCAGGTGACGCACACGCGGGACGGGCCTCGCGGGCGGCGGCGGCGGCGGCCGGAGCAGCCCCTGGGCCGCAGCTTGGTGCCTCACCTGCACCCAGGCGAGGCCCCCGGGGACGGGCCCCGGGCAGGGCCGCCTGCCAGCAAGGCGCTCGCGCTGTTTGACATCCAGGGGATCGTGCAGGACAGGAAGCCCGTGCACGTGATTGCGGTGGAGGAGCCGCCCGTGGGCGCGTCCGTGGTGTTTGACATCAAGGAGGCCCCCTAGGCGGACGGGCACCGCAGCGACCGACCCGGCGCAGGGGCCGCGTGGGGCTGACGCGGGGAGGAAGGCCTGGGCGCCCCCGCTCTCCCCAGACGCCGGAGCTTGGGGGGCCTCCGGTCTATGGAGCCCGGTGCACCCTTTAAACTCTTACTTTCTGTTGCCTCTGGGACCCTGAGACGGGTTCACAGGTCACGTCAGGAAGCCCACATGGGCCCCGTTCTGTGCAGGATGATTGAAGCAAAAGTAACTGTAATGGAGTAACGTGTCCCAGCCGGTGCGGAAGCTCCCAACCGAGCAGTCATGCCGGGGACCTGGCAGGGCCTGTGGGCATCGTCTAGTAACTGGGTCTGAGGTTGGGAAGCATTGAGAGGGGCATTCCTGTCCGGGACCGGATTTTTTTTTTTTTTTTAATCCTCACCAGAAGAATAAAAAATTTTTCCTATGGATTATTTTTTTAGAGAGTGGAAGGGACCGGTGCAGAGGAGAGAGAGACAGAGAGAAACATTGTTGTGTCAGAGACACATCCATTGGTTGCTCCCACTCGTGCCCCAAAGGGAGCCACAGATTGAATCTGCAAATAAGGTACGTGCCCTTGGCCAGAAACCTAACCCTGGACCCTTCAGTCCACAGGCCGGTGCTCTAACCACTGAGAAACCTGCCAGGCGGGAGGTGGATCTTCAGAGAGTTGACTCGCTCTTGGAAGAATTTTGAGCAAAACAAAATGCCATTGCATTTCTGGGAAGTTCTCAGCGTGCGGGATTAGTGTGTTCACCCGTGAAGCCGGCCGAGGGTCTCCGTTCACACTTACACACAGATTGTTTCATAGGCACACGCGGCGTCCCCAGGGCCAGTCTGCACTTCGCGGGCTTCAGAGCAGCTTGCCCCACCCCCATCAGCCACGTCAGCCACCCTCATGCCCAAGGCAGACGGCACGGAAGCCCTGAGATGCCACTGCTCCTGGGAAAGCCATTGCCTGGGAAAGCCGGCGCTGCTCTGAGCCGCCGGCTGGTTCTCCATCGGTGACGGCTGGTTGTCAGGACTGCAGGAGGCAGGGCCACTGCGTCTTGTGGGCTCGGGCAGGGATGCTGCTCACCATCCCATAATGTCCACGCTGCCAAGGGAGAGGCACCGCGCCCAGCACCAGCTGCCGTTTCCCAAACTGTATATTGGTTGGGCGGGGCTGTGCTAACAATGTTTTACGTTTGTTTGTTTTTTTATTGATTTCAGAGAGGAAGGGAGAGGGAGAGACAGAAACATCAATGATGAGAGAGAATTCTTGATGGGCTGCCTCCTGCATGCCCCCCACTGGGGATCGAGCCTGCAACCGGAGCACGTGCCCTTGACAGGAGTGGAACCTGGGACTCTGTCCACTGAGCCGCACCAGCGAGGGCTCTTCTTCCGTCTATATTCGTTCTGGGGGGGAATTTTGTCGCCATCTCCAGCCTGCCCACCAGCTGCTCCTCGCTTTGCCTGGTGAAATGCCCTCTGATCTGGCCTCACACCCCAGGTGTGCTGGGGCTCCTCGTGAATTGTGTGACGTCACCTTGTATGGGGGCTCTGCTGGAGGCCGCAGATGTCCGTGCCAGGTGAGGCCAGACTTCTGAGAACATGGTTTATTTCTGTGTGACGCGGGGCATGCTCACGGGACCTTCATGTTCACAGTTGCAAACCCCGCCTCGATCATCTTACTGCTCTCCAATTTTAAACCTGAGCAAAGCCAAGCTGGCCAACTTGGTCCACGCTGTTGTTGACGTACAGAGCACTGTGATAGCCCTGGCTGGTTTAGTCAGCGGTTAGAGCCTTGGCCCGTAGACTGAAGGGTCACGGGTTCGATTCCGGGTCAAGGGCACGTACCTCAGTTGCAGGCCCCCCAGCCCCAGTAGGGGCACGTGCAGGAGGCAACCGAACGATGTATCTCTCATGTCAACCTTCTCTCTCCTCCCACCCACTGTCTCTAGAAAGTCGTGGAAAGTCATCCTCGGGTGAGGATTGCCGGTCGGGCACATGCCCATGTGGCACACTCGATCCCCCGTGTGGGGCGTGCAGGAGGCAGCCGATCCATGATTCTCTCTCATCTTTGATGTTTCTATCTCTCGCTCCCTTTGCCTCTCTGACATCAATAAAGAACATATTTTTAAAGTGACAGGAGAGGATTGTATCTTGGGTGGGGGCGCACGGTGCAGTGTATGGATCTTGTAACAGAAGCCCACACCTGAAACCTATATGATCGTGTTGACCAGTGTCACCCCAATAAATGTAATAAAAACAAAAGCCCAGGGTTTGAATCTCCCGCTTTCTAACCTAGAGTGGAGCCAAGTGGACCCCATAGACACGGCACCTGCCCTGCTGCACATCAGTCATTTCCTCCGAGACACAGACGCGGCCTCCCTGTTTGCTGTTCCCCCGGCACGGGCATCGCAGGGAAGTTAGCTGCAGCCATTCCCATCCAAAGTAGGAAGGAAGCAGCACTGGCCCTGGGGTGGGAGGCACTGCAGCCGGCGGGAGGCAGGTGAGGCCGGCGGAGCCCAGAGTCCCGGAAAGACGGGCGTCTGGCGGCTCAGCCAGCGCTGAGGTTCTGCCTGCAGGGCCCCCACGGAGCCCGGGTGTGTGTCCCTGCTCAGCCTCCGCGGCCGCCCCGCCCTCTGGATCCCTGCGGGCGGGAGCCTTCCCTTCGCACAGGAAGGCGTGGCCTGGAAGGAAGGGGGGCACAGGACACGGAGCCGCCCGTTACACTGACGTCCGAGTGGCTTCAGCAGGTCGGGGCTCCTTGGAGGCCCCCTTGGGGCCAGCGCCGCGCTCTGCAGCCTCTCCACCTCCCCCAGCGTCTCGGGGGACCGTGGCCCCAGCCCTTGCATCCAGATCAAGAGAAGCGGGAAGGGCAGGCCCGCACAGGCCTCCAGCAGACGCCCACTGCGTCTCATGGGCCAGGACGGCCCCCCCCTCAGGACAGGGGGCTCGGAAAGCTGGTCTTCAGCTTTTCCAGGCTGCATGGTGCAGACCTGCACCCCGAGACACGGGCGTGGGGAGTAGAGTGGGTGACAGGCAGCTGGCGTCCTCTGCGCCTCCCTCCTCCAGCCTCACAGGCCTGATCCCTGGGTCAGACACCCCTGCCTCTGGCCCATCCCCTCATCCCCTGGGTCGTCCAGCCTGCGGCCGGGCCCTCCTACATCCTGGGGTCCTGCCCCTCTGATCCCTTCCACCTCCTTGTCCTCCCCTCCCCACCCCTCTTAAATGTTGGGGGTCCCAGGACAGTGCCCCGGGGCCCGTCTTGTGCTCCTCGCCCTCCCCACGTATCCTCTCCTCACCCACAGCTTTGCTGCTCTGTCCCCCTCTGGGAGTTCTAACTTCCGGCCAGAACAGCAGCAGAGCCGGCCCCTTGCTCCAGGGCCCTTTCTCGGGGTCTGCCCCCCCCATTGCCCCCCCCACGGCCCCCCAAGCCAGAAGGTAAATGAGCTTTGGCCTCGGTGGCCTCCTGCTCTGCAGACCTCACCACCTGCACGTCGGCTCTTCCTGCTCCCACTCCCCCACCTCCAGCCCCAGAGGAAGGGACAGGCCACCAGCAGGCCAGCGCCCTGAACCCCCTCGGACAGTCCCTTCTCGCTGCCCCTCTGCTGTGCGGGGTACAGACTCAGAACGGCTCCACCGGCCGGCGTTCCCGGGAGGGGGACCCCGCTGTGGCTCCGTGTTCTCGGTGGCTCCGGGACTGGCCTGAGGTTGCCCCGTCCCCTCCACCGGCCCCGCGACGGCAGCACCTGAAGGGCTGTTTCCACGGTTCAGAGTGGGCCGTGGGCGGGCACCCCCCTGCCTCCCAGGCAGCCGAGACCTCTGCAAATGTACCGTTTCTCACCTCATGTCAAAAGTAAAAATGCGGAAGCCACCTTCGCGTCGACCACGGGGAGCCTAGCTGAGTGGCCTGTGGTGTGAAGTGGAGAACTGCCGGCCGTAAAACTGGGGGTGTCGCCCTGGCCGGCTTGGCTCAGTGGATAGAACCCCAGCCTGTGGACTGAAGGGTCCCAGGTTTGATTCCAGCCAAGGGCACATGCCTGGGTTGTGGGCTCGATCCCCAATAGGGGGCGTGCAGGAGGCAGCTGATGAACGATTCTCTCTCATCATTGATGTGTCTATCTCTCCTCCCTTCCTCTCTGAAATCAATAAATATACTTAAAAAAAAACTGGGGGTGTCTCCGTGTACGAGCGTGGGCAGAGCTCCAGGACACGTGGTTAAGTGAGACAGTGGCAGCCGTGTGTGCTGTGTCTCCCATTTGTGTCTCACACATTCGCTGTGAGAAAGGGTGCAACGTACCAGCTGCTCTTGGGGAGGAGAAAGGGATGAGGAATAATTTTCACTCTGTATCTTTTGATATTTTTGGAATTTTGAAACATGGAAAAGTACTACCAGTTCAAGAAATAAAAAACTCTCACATGAAAGTAAGTGTAATCATTTCTTCCATTGTTTACTGTCTCTCTCTCCCATTAAAACAGTGGTTCTCAACCTTCTGGCCCTTTAAATACAGTTCCTCATGTTGTGACCCAACCATAAAATTATTTTCGTGGCTACCTCATCACTGTCATGTTGCTACTGTTATGAACCGTCATGTAAATATCTGATATGCAGGATGGTCTTAGGTGACCCCTGTGAAAGGGTCGTTCGACCGCCAAAAGGGTCGCGACCCACAGGTTGAGAACCGCTGCATTAAAACATCCATATGACTGTGTCTTGGCCACACCTGCTCTATATATACACAGGTGCACGCACGTGTGTGTGTGTGTGTGTGTGTGTGTTAGCGGAACCTGGTTAATGTAAAATAGCTGCTACTCGCCCTGACCGGTGAGCAGTAGTTAGAGCATCAGCCTGCACACCAAAGGGTCTCGGGTTCGGTCCCCGGTCAGGTCAGGGTGCTGTGGGAGGCAACCAATCCCCATGCACACACACATCAGCCCTTCCCTCCTGCGAGTCTCGCTAGGGTCTGGATGTAGGATAGCTGGGACTGCAGAGCACTCCCCCACCTGACAGCCCCCGTAAGGAAGCACGCTGACACCAGGTCAGCGTGGCGCAGTGCTTGAGCCTCGACCTATGGACCTATCAGGGTTCGATTCCTGGTCAGGGCACGTGCCCCCCGGGGTTGCAGGCTCCATCCCCAGTAGGGGGTGTGCAAGAGGCAGCCGATCAATGATTCTCATCATTGATGGTTTTCTCTCCCTTCCTTTCAGAAATCAGTAATAATAATTTTTTTTTTTAAAGAAGCAGCAGCAGCATGCCAACAGGTATCTGCTGCCACTGCTGCTGTCCACACACCTGGCAGAGCGGAGCGGAGGCCTCAGGCTGTCACACAGCAGGGAATTCACTTTGTATGACGTTCAGAGAGCACCCCCTCCCCACCCCCCTTGCAGGGCGAACCGGGAGCTGTCCGAGGTGCTGACACGCCCTGCGGTTGCTGAAAAGGGAATTGGTTGAAATGACTTAATTAAAATGACATCCGGTTTCCTGGCCACACCCGGACTCCACGTTCCCGGGCAGACAGTCCACGCGAGTTTCCAAAACTGTCAGTGGTCCCAGCGGGCACCACGCATCCCAGGACGAGGACCGTGCATCCGAAACAGGGAGCTCGTATTCTGGGACAGAGCCCTTTCCTCTGCCCCGGCCGCTCCTCCTCTTCTCACCTCAGGGTGGGGCTCAGGACCCTGTCACGAGAGGGGGCAGATCTGGGACAGAGGCTCCTGTGGCCACGCTGTTTATCAGCCAAAATCCAGAAAAGGGACGGAGCGGTGACACACAGCTCAGCCTCCAGGTCGTGTGCAAACACACGACAGACACGTGGGATCCCTGTACATGGTCCCAGTGAGATACACACACACACACACGATACACACCCCTCACCCCGGCACCCACACCCCTCAACCCAGCACACACACACCTCACCCTCTCGCACACACACCTTCAACCTCCCACGCACGGTCCAGCTAGATCCTGCACTCACCGTCCCGCTGCCCCACCTGGACTACAACTCCCGGCGGGCCTCGGGCTGCTGGTGGGCTCCTGCGTGGCACCTTCCATGAACTGTAGCCCTGGGCGACGCCCGGTCCGTGTGGCGCGGCGCATTCCGGGAGTTGTGGTCCAGGCGGGCTGCGCGGCGCATTCTGAGAGTTGTGGTTCTTGTGAGCTGCGCGGCGCATTCTGGGAGTTGTGGTCCCGGCGGGCTGCGCGGCGCATTCTGGGAGTTGTAGTTCGGCGTGCCGACGCGCTGGCGGGCTCCTCAGTCGGGCGCCTAAGCGTCCGCTCCCGGAAGTGTCCCCTAGCCCCACAGTGAGGTGGGTCCGAGGGGACTCCCGCTGGGGTGGGGCCCGGAAGCCGCTAGCGCCCGGTGCGCCCCAAAGCGAGACGGGCTGGACGCGGCACGGGAGGGCGGGCGGGCGGGTGTGAGGGGCTGACTGCGCGGAACTAACTGGTCCAAGGTGGGGACCGCTAACCGGGCGCGGGGCGAGGGGTCTACCCCAGGCCTCGGCGCGGGCGCCTGGCAGACGGGTAGGGGCGCTGGGTCCGTGGGTGGGACGGGGTCTGACGGTCGGGCCGGGTGTGCGGCGCCGACGGGGGCGGGGGCGTGGGAGGCCGCAGGTGGGGGCGTGACGTCAGAGGCTGGCGCCTGGCCCCAGGTGACCGGGCCTCCCTGTGGGCCTGGCTGCGGAGGCGACCAAGCAGTGGAAATGCCCCGAGACTGTGTGTTTATCTGTTTATTTATTTTTTAAATATTTTTATTGATTTCAGAGAGGAAGGGAGAGGAGAGAGAGAGAGAGAGAGAGAAACATCAATGACGAGAATCATTGATTGACAGCCCCACATTGGGGGGGAGGGGGAATGGAGCCCTGACCCGGAAGCAAACCCGGGACTTCCTGGTTCATAGGTCAAAGTTCACCCCCTGAGACACACAACCAGCAGGTTGTGTGCTTGGCGGTCTGTGTGTGACAGAGACTGTGCTCCCGGCCCTGGCGGGGTCCTGGCTGGTTGGAGCGGCCTCCCCGACACCAGCAGGTTGTGGGTTCGATCCCAGGTCAGGGCACATGCCTCGGTAGCAGGTTCAGTATCCGCTCGGGGTGAGTTTGGGAGGCAACCAATGCATCTCTCACATCGATGTTTCTCTCTCCCGCGCTCCCCATCCTCTCCACCTCTCCCAAATCAATACATTAAAAAAAAAAAAATGGCCCTAGCCGGTGTGGCTCAGTGGGTAGAGCCTCGGCCTGCGGACTGAAGGGTCCGGGTTCGATTCCAGTCAAGGGCACAGGCCTGGGTTGTGGGCTGGATCCCCAGTAGGGGGCGCGCAGGAGGCAGCCGATCCATGATTCCCTCTTATCATTGATGTTTCTCTCTCTCCCTTCCTTTCTGAAATAAATAAAAACATTGAAAGAAAAAAAAAGAAAGAAAGAAATTGTATGTGCCTGGGAATATTTTGGGGTATGACTGACAGGCTGCCTGAGGTAGGGTGTGTGCACATACCTGTGCGACTGACTGTCATTTTTGTCAGGGGGGCTGAAATGTGAAGGATTTGCAGTGTTTATTAATTATATGACGAAGAATTTGTGTCTTGCCTTGTCTGCAGCGGAAATCGTGTGACCAGCGGTTTATGGATGTGTCCCCAGTGCCTTCTGGGAGCTGGCGTCTGCTGAGGCTCTGCAGAGTCATCAGGTTGGACGTTCCCTGCGTGTTTGCTGTGAGCCCGGCCTGCGCTGGACACACATCATGGATCGCCTTGGGTAACCTCACCACCACCCTCTGAGGTGGGTGCCATTATCCGGTCGGGTACGAGTAAGGAGCGAGAAATGGAAAACAACCACTCTGTCCTCGCTGGTTTGGCTCAGTGGATAGCGCGTCAGCCTGCAGATTGAAGGGCCCCGGGTTCGATTCCGGTCAAGGGCACATGTCCGGGTTGCGGGCTCAATCCCCAGTGTGGGGCGTGCAGGAGGCAGCCGATCCATGATTCTCTCTCATCATTGAGGTTTTTTCCTGTCTCTCTCTCCCTCTCCCTTCCTCTCTGAAATGAAAATTAAAAATAAAATAAAAATTGAAGAAAAAAAAAAAAACACTTTCCCCCCAGCCAGGTGGCTCAGTAGGTTTAAGCATCGTCACACACACACACACACACACACACACACACACACACACACACACGGCTACCTGGGGAGCATGTGAGAGAGGAGGGGGGAGGCGTGCACTTTAAGCAGGCCGGCCATAGGGTCGGGCTGCCTGGATTGTTCGACGCAGCCACTGCCCATCCCATCATTAGGAAACTGGGCCAATGTTTTTCTTCTCTGTGTCTGTTTTCAGATCTGTTCATTGGAAAGAAAGTTCCCACCCTCTGAGTCTATTGTGAATTTTTTTTTTTTTTTAACAAATGAGGTTTATTTTATTTTATTTTTAATCCTCACCCAAGGCTATTTTTCCATTGATCTTTTAGAGAAAGGGAGAGGGAAAGACAGAAATATCGATGTGAGAGAAACACATCAATGGGTTGCCTCCTGCACATGCCCCAACCAGGGCCCCGGCCGGGAAGGTGCCTACAACCGAGGTACGTGCCCTTGACCAGAATAGAACCCGGGAACCTTCGGTCTGCAGGCCGGTGCACTAGCCACTGAGCTAAACTGGCTAGGGCTGATTATGTTTTTAGTATATTTTTATTGATTTCAGAGAGGAAGGGAGAGAGAGATAGAAACATCAGTGATGAGAAAGAACCATTGATGGACTGCCTCCTGCACCCCCACAGTGGGGATCTAGCCTGCAACCCGGGCCTGTGCCCTGACTGGGAATCGAACCTCGACCTCCTGGTTCATAGGTTGATGCTCAACCACTGAGCCACGCCAGTCGCGCTGTCCTGATTATTTTGAGGATCTGTTTCCTGTGAGCGTGCGTCTCGTGTCCCAGGCCCCAGGCCAGCGTCTGTCCTGCTCTGGGTGTGAGGCAGCACCCAGGTTCCCTGATGACACCGTTCTGATCTCCCTGCAGACCCAGCTCCCAGGCTCGCTGGCGTGCTCCTGCCCGATGGCCGTCCCCCAGGCCCCCCTGAGCCCGGTGCCCTGGGAACTGGATGGCGTCCTGCAGGTGAAGGTGGAGGATGAGGACCCCAGCCTCTCCCAGGTCCAGGCTTGTAGCCTCGGCCACGCGGCCCACCCCGAGGAGGCTGCACGCCTGTGCTTCCGGCGCTTCTGCTACGAGGAGGCCTCCGACCCATACGAGGCCCTGGCCCAGCTCCGCGGGCTGTGCCGCCAGTGGCTGCGGCCGGAGGTGCACTCCAAGGAACAGATGTTGGAGCTGCTGGTGCTGGAGCAGTTCCTGGGTGCGCTGCCCCCCAAGATCCAGGCCTGGGTGGGGGCCCAGTGCCCCAGGAGCGGCAAGGAGGCCGCCATGCTGGTGGAGGATCTGACTCAGGCACTGGACCGGAAAGGTGAGGGTACAGCCGTGGGCAGGTGTTCACAGGACACCCCAGGCAGGGGCTGGGCTGTATGGGGGAGGGCTGGGCTGTATGGGGGAGGGCAGGGGCCAGGGTTCAGGCCGCCCAGTGCATGCCCCCCTGTTTGTAATTCACCCAAATGCTCACACTGTGCGGAGCACACTTTTTTTTTTTTTTTCTTTCTTAATGTTTTTATTCATTTTAAAGGGAGAGTGAGAGGGATATATAGAGAGAAACATCAATGAGGAGCTCTGAGCCCTGGACATTTTGGCTCAGTGGATAGAGCGTGGGCCTGCGGACTGCAGGGTCTCGTGTTCGATTCTGGTCAAGGGCAGGCACCTCGGTTGCAGGCTCCCCGCCCTGGTCGGGGGCGAACGGGAGGCAGCCAGCCCATGTGTTTCTCTCACATTGGTGTTCCTGTCTTTCCCTCTCTCTCCACTTTCTCTAAAAGTCAACGGAAAAAATATCCTCGGGTGAGGATTAAAAAAAAAGAAGAAGAAGAAAAGAAACATTGATGAGGAGACAGAATCATTGATCGGCTGCCTCCTGCACGCCCCACACTGGGGATAGAGCCCGAAACCCGGGCCTGTGCCCTGACCAGGAATCAAACCGTGACCTCCTGGTTCATAGGTCAACGCTCAACCACTGAGCCATGCGGGCGGGCGGCTGTGTGACTCTCTTATGCCTCAGTTTCCCTGTCAGTAAAATGGGGATGGCGGTGCGTCTGCAGCCCGTGAAACAGCCACTGTCGGGGCAGCTTGTTCAGCTCCTCGAGAAGCAGGCGTTTCTGGAAGAGGTCGGCTAGGTGCCCACCCTTGGTCCCATCGCCTGTGCCCACTCGGATGTCATAGGGCCGGGGAGAGGAGGGAGGGAGGGAGAGGAAGGCAACACGGGGCTGAAAGGAAGAGGGAGAGCCAGATGGAGAGGTGGGGCCGAGGCCCTGTGGTGTGTATGGACCCCGTGCGTCCTGGGAAGAGCAGGTTCCTGGACCAGAGGGAGACGGGGAGGGGGGCAGCCCGAGGCCAGTGGGGTCCCCTGGGGGATTCAAGGGCGATGAGATTCACCAGCCGAAGCCCAGCTTAGCCACTTGCTGTGTGACCTTGTACCAGTGACTCGGCCTCTCTGGGCTGATGATGTGGCCTCGCATCAGTTACTGAAGAGCTTCCCTCAGCTGGGCCTCCGTTCCCGGTCTGAACCGCAGGCTGAAGCTGAAAGAGGCCATGGCCAGTGTCTACTGCACTGAAGCCTGATAGCGGCCAGCAGCCCGGGCCGCAGCGTGTCCTTCCTCCCTCACAGATGAGGAAACGGGGGGCTAGACCGGGGTGGATCGCCGGGGCCCCCTCCTCCCCTCCTTCCTGGGGTCCTCCAGGAACCGGGCTCTGTGCTCCCTTCAAGGGGAGGCCGGGGCAGGTGCTCCCTCGTGGGAACACAACCCCACCTCCGGCTGCCCTTCGCCACACTCGGCCCGCCCAGCACCTCGGAGAGGCCGGGCCTCAGACCCGGGCCGGTACGGTGCAGTGGTTAGAGCGGGCCTGCGCACCGGAGGGCGGCAGGTTCCATCCCCGCCTGGGGTCGGGCGTGTGAGGGAGGCAGCCAATCGCTGTCTCTCTCATCAATGTTTCTCTCTCTCTCTCTCTGAATTTGGGGGGTGAGGGACTGGATGCTCTCAGCAGCGCCCAGCGGGTGTGTCAGGAGTGGCCCGCGTGTCCCCTCACAGAGGGAGGCCACCCCCGGGCGAGTCCAGAGGCTGATGTCAGGGAGGCTGATGCCCGAGGCCTGACGCTGCGGCTCCATGTTTCAGGCTGGAAGCCGGGAGCCGAGCCCCCAGGGCCGAGCTGCAAGCACGGCGATTCGGAGGAGGCGGAGGCCGCTGCCCAGGCCCTCGCGGGGGGCGCGTCCCTCGGACACGGCTTTGGTGACGCCTTTGGACCCCAGGGCAGCTCGGAGAGGATGGTGGGGCTCCCGGGGGACGGCTGGACCGAGCCCTGCGCCCCGGAGACAGGGTTCAGGGCCGCTCCGGGGCCTCCCGAGGCGGCCCTCAGGGACCAGCCCGGCTGTGACTCCGGTGCCTTCGGGAACGTCCCCAGCGTGTGGTCAGAGGCCACCTGGCCGGACAAGGCGCCCTCCGCGGAGGAGTCCGGTCCTTTGGGCGGTGCTGGCGGGGAGTGCGGCAAGACTTCCTCCAGCGCCCGGGCCCTGGACGCGCACCGGAAGGGCCATTCCCGCAAGACGCCCTACACCTGCAGCGAGTGCGGGAAGGCCTTCGGCCGCAGCACGCACCTGGCCCAGCACCAGGTGGTGCACACGGGGGCGAAGCCCCACGCGTGCCAGGAGTGCGGCAGGGCCTTCAGCCGCGTCACCCACCTGGCGCAGCACCGGCGCATCCACACCGGGGAGAAGCCCTACGCGTGCGGGGACTGCGGCAAGGCCTTCAGCCGCAGCACGCACCTCACGCAGCACCAGCGGGTGCACACGGGCGAGCGGCCCTACGCGTGCGTCGCCTGCGGCAAGGCCTTCAGCCAGAGCGCGCACCTGACGCAGCACCTGCGCACGCACACCGGCGAGAAGCCCTACGCGTGCGAGGCCTGCGGGCGAGCCTTCAGCGACTACTCGGCGCTGATCCGGCACCTGCGGGTCCACTCGGGGGAGAGGCCCTACCGCTGCCAGGTCTGCCCGAAGGCCTTTGCGCAGAGCTCCTCGCTGATCGAGCACCAGCGGGTGCACACGGGGGAGAGGCCCTACCGGTGCGGGGACTGCGGCAAGGCCTTCAGCCGCAGCTCCGCCCTCCTGGCGCACCTGCGGGTCCACGGCCCGGTGCTGCGGTGACCCGCCGGCAGCGGCCTCCTGCGCAACGGGGAGTGGAAGGGAGACCCCGAGTTCCAAGGAGCCAAGAAGAATGGGGTGGGGCATCGAGGACGCCCCCGGAATGAGGAGGTTCGAGGACAGACTTGGGGCTGTCTGGGAGCAGCTCTGCACTGGGGGACCCGGGCGATGCCAAGACGGCCGCTTCCGGAAGGACCCGCCGCCCTCCGTCCCCGCCAGGCCCGTCTCAGAGGACTGCGCGCTGCGGACGGTGTCGGTCCTCGCAGCCAGGGCAGGGGTGGCGCCTCTGTCAGGACTCGGTGGTCCCAGGACGACGATCTGGGCCCCAGGTTCACACTCGGGGTCCTCGCCTGCCGAGCCCGGGGGCACACGGCCCACGCTACCTCTGTGCCTTCCGTTTTTTATTATTTATTTTTATTTTTCTGGTTAATCCTCACTCGAAGATACTTTTCTCATTGATTTTTAGAGTGTAAGGGTAGGAGGGAGGGAGGGAGGAACACCGATGGGGGAGAGACATGGGCTGGTTGCCTGCCACACACGCCCAGGCCAGGGCCCGGGAAGAACCTGCAACCCAGGGACGTGCCCTTGACGGGGAGTCGAACCCTCGGGTGGAAGGGCCAGAGCTCTAACCACTGAGCACACCAGCCAGGGCTGTGCCTTTCCACCGGCTGCTCCTCCACTTCGTGCTCCACGCCCAGGCCGGCCGGGGTGTCTGCCTCTTCTGTGAGGCTCCCAGACCCGCTCCCTCATGCTCCCACCGTCGCTGGGGGAGCTGCTGACCCTCCCCGAGCGGCATCCGTTTGGGCTCCTGCCCCTCCTTCCGCTTCCCACCAGCCATCGGCCCTGTTCCTTCTACCTACACTCACCTCGGCTTTGCTTTCTCCACCATCCGGACCTCCTGTGCGGCCTCCTTGCCGCCCACGTCGGTTCCAGCAGGGCCCCCTCCTGCCTTCGCCTCTCCGGCCTCCAGGCCACCCTCTCCACTCCCTGCATCTGACCTTGTTCTGGGCGATGGGAAGCTCTCTGATGCCTCACCTTCCACCGCAGAGCTTCCTGAACAGGATACGGGTTTGCCCAGACAGGAGTCACTTTGGGCCAAACCACCTCACCACGCACCCTCACGTGCGCCCGGATGTGGTCCCCTTGCTGCGAGTGCGCAGTGATATGAAATGGTTTCCAAGTCCTGCCCTCAGGGACGGAGCTCAAACCCCGGTGCCTGCCATTCGTGATGGGGCCCCACGGGCCACGGGGACGACTCGCAGCTCTTAAAGAAGCCATGTTTCCTGCCCACGTGCCTTTGTATCTGTGTCTGCGGCTCGCCTCCTAAACCTACCACACGGTAGTCACTCCACGTGTTTCCCGAGATGCTGTGAGCTTCAAGAGCAGGGCCCTGTCTTACTCTCTGACCCACCAGATATTCCCACAGGACCCAGCAGACCCGGACTCCTGTCTGCTGAATGCATCTGCTGGGGCCCATGCCTTCCCAGGCGGCTGCATGTCCTTGTGTGTGTGTGTTCTGGGCTGTCTCCCACCACCATGGGCTCTACAAGGCAAGAGCAACCGGATTCTCCCAGGGTCCCAGCACGCAGTGGCCTCAATAAAATGTTACCAGCCCGGCCAGCCTGGCTCCGTGGTTGAGCGTCAACCTATGAACCAGGAGGTCACGGTTTGATTCCCTGTCATGGCACATGCCCAGGTTGCAGCTCCATCCCCACTTTTGGGGCACACGGGAGGCAGCCAATCAATGATTCTCATCACTGATGTTTCTATCCCTCCCTCTCCCTTTCTCTCTGAAATCAATAAAAATATATTTTTTATAAAAGACCAAGGAAAGAGGTTCAGAACAGAAGGCAAATCCCTGGGGAGACAAAGATCTTGTGTCAGTATCTCCACGAGGGTCCCAGAGACACCCGGACTCGGACAGATGCCCACCTACAATGCGCCAAGGCGGACAGGTGGAGAGGAAGTTGATGGACAGAGGGAGGAACTCCGAGATGTGGGACATGTCTTTCCAGGGACATGGCTGCAGCACGCACCTGGCTCGGGCCTGGGACAGGCTGCGGGGAGTGGAGGAGACGGACGTGTGCCTGCAGTCCAGCTGCAGAGGGACCCGGAGAAGTGACTCCGCTCAACCCGGGGGGCCTGTCTGCAGCACCTGGCCCAGGGCCTGGCCTGGCTCTGGCTGGCACGTGCGTCTCCACCTCCCTCTGCACGGCTGGCCCATCTCTGTCACCCAAGGAGCAGGCTCTCCCTCCGCTGACACTCAGCATCTCCAGAGCCCGCTGTCGCCAGGTGTGTGCCCACGTCTGTCTAAAGCAGGAAGAGGGTGGAGTGGGGGGTGGGGCGGGGTAGGGAGAGGAGTCTTTGTTGTTCTTAATCCTCACCTGGGATACTTTTCCATTGATTTTTAGAGAGAATGGAAGGAAAAGAGAGAAACATCGATGTGAGAGAGAGAGAGAGAGAGACTGCCCAGACCTGAGGCTGGGCATTGAGCCTGCAACTGAGGTGTGTGCCCTCGAACCTGGGACCCTTCGGTCTGTGGGCCGACGTTCTACCCACTGAGCAAACCGGCTAGGGCGGAATCTTTGTTCTTAATGTTTTCATTGATTTCACAGAGTGTCCTGCGGGCAAAGGGGGCTGGGATCGCAGGGACAGAACAGAGAGGAGTCCCGCCCCTCCCACAGCTTCATGCTCCCCCATGGGAGGCCTGGCCTTTGGCGGGGACACAGCCCAGCACCGCCACCTGGTGGCCGCTCAGCCCGGGACAGAACAAAGTGCAGCCTCTGAACTGCCTCCCTGGGTGGGGGCTGGTTTGGTCCGGGTGGGAGGGGTTGGGTGTCTGGAGCCTCAAGCTCCCTACGCACACTGGCTGGGGCCAGCAGCCAGGAGGGAGGCATCTGGGTGGAGGAAGAGGTTTTGTAAGAGGTGGGCTCCAGCCCGGCCAGTGTGCTCAGTGGTTGAGCATCAACCTGTGAACTAGGCCAGTGATGGCGAACCTATGACACACGTGTCAGAGGTGACACGCGAACTCATTTTTTTGGTTGATTTTTCTTTGTGAAATTGCATTTAAATATATAAAATAAATATCAAAAATATGTCTTTGTTTTACTATGGTTGCAAATATCAAAAAATTTCTATATGTGACACGGCACCAGAGTTAAGTTAGGGTTTTTCAAAATGCTGACACGCCGAGCTCAAAAGGTTCGCCGTCACTGACCTAGGAGGTCACAGTCCGATTCCTGGGTTGCGGGCTCCATCCCCAGTGCAGAAGGCAGCTGGTCAGTGATTCTCTCTCATCATGGATGTTTCTCTCTCTCTCTCCCTCTCCCTTCCTCTCTGAAATCAATCAAAACATATTTAAAATTTAAAAAGGAAATGAAAAAGGTGGGCCCTGGAGCCAGTCCTCGGCCCCTCTACCCCGAGGTCCCAACCCAGCACCCACCCACCTCCCTCAGCCCTGGGCATCCAGCCCTTCAGCAGGGCTGCTACTGGCAAAAGACATGTTTTAAGGTCTTTTCACATTTATTAATTCCTGGGAGGAGTGAGGGGGAGCCCTCCTGACGCCCCCCACACACACTCTCCCTGCTCCGGGCATGGTCCAGCCTCGAGCTGCAGCAGGAGGAGCAGGGCCAGAGGGAACCAGGAGACCCTCAGCAGCCAGGTCTGCAGCTGGATCAGCGTTCTAGACAAAGTTGACAAAAATGGTAGGAGAGGGAGGCGCCCTGGGTACAACCCTGGCAGACCTCCTGGAGCCCCCGCAGGAAGGAAGCAGATGAGTCAGCTGCCCCAAAACCCTGCCCAGGCCTCCCTCCTGGCGCTCCAGCTGACCAAGCTCCTCGCTGCCCCAGGGCCTTTGCACCTGCTCTTTCCCCCACCAACTCCAGCAGAGCGCACTAACTGATGCACCCGGGAGGGCACGCCCGATAGAGGGCGCAGGCTGGGCAGAGGTGAGGGGTGTGGAGGGGAGGAATCCAGCTCTCAGAACCCAGGGGGACTTCACCTGCCACCTGGAGCTCCACGGGGTCGCTCAGCTCAGACACCAGGGGCCACCAGGAGCGGTAGCGGCAGCTGTACTTGCCGGCGTGTTGGGGCCCCACGTAGGTCAGCACCAGGTCCTCGGAGGGGCCATACGCGGAGGCCACCACTTCGCCTGCTGCCAGCAGCTCCAAGGATTGGTGGGCCACAGGGGTCTCGCAGCGCAGGGCAGCGTCCCGGCCCGGACTCACCTTCCCGCTCCACAGGGGCCGGAGCCGCGGCTTGGGGAGGAGTCCTGGGGGGGGGGGGCAGGCGGGTCAGTCCCCCTTCCAACGGCAGCCACCCCGGCACCAGGCCCTCCCCTCCACACCCTTCTCCCCTTTCCTGGCCCTGAACGGAGACAACCGCCCTCACACCTCGTCCCTGGAAACCGATGGTGTCCTCAGGACCCTGAGAGTCCCCCGGACCTGGGCCCAGTTCTGGGGCTTTGGGGGGGGGGGGCCGCATGTGACAGCAGGGCCCCAGGCGAGGGAAGGAAGACATGAGGGTGGAAATGGTGTTCCCCGCGGAGCAGAGCGCGGCGCAGCGGAAGGTCGGGAGGCAGGACCTGCGCGCCCAGCCTCCTGCGCGGGGACCTTGGTGAGGACATCGGAGGGACAGGCGGACCCGGGGCCGCGAGGGCTGCACATTAACCCTTCACCCCGCGCACAGGGCCTGGCGTGGCTCAACGGAGTGTGCTGTCCCAGGAACCAAGAGGCCCCGGGTTCGATTCCCGCTCAGGGGACTTGCCTGGGTAGCGGGATTGCCCAGTGGGGGGCGAGCAGGAGGCAGCTGATCAGCGATTCTCATCATTGATGTTTCTCTCTCTCCTCCCTTCCTCTCTGAAATCAATAAAAATAGATTAAAAAATAGCCCTGACTGGTGTGGCTCAGTGGATAGAGCTTCGGCCTGCGGACTGAAGGGTCCCGGGTTCCATTCCGGTCCAGGGCATGTGCCTGGGTTGCGGGCACATCTCCAGTGGGGACCGTGCAGGAGGCAGCTGATCGATGTTTCTCTCTCATCGATGTTTCTGACTCTCTATCCCTCTCCCTTCCTCTCTGTAAAAAATCAATAAAATATATTTTTTAAAAGACAACACGGGAAACGGGGGGGATTTCAGCCGCCTCCCCGCTCACATCCCAGGGAAACAGCCGCCCGCGGCGCCCTCACCGTCCACGCGCAGCTCCAGGCGCGCGCTGGGCGCGGAGCCCCCGGGCCGCGCGGGGTCCACGTAGACGCAGCTGTAGTTGGACGAGTCCATCGGCGACACGTCGCGCAGCTCGAACCGGGCCTCCTTGCCCTCCGGGCTCTGGAGGCCGCGCACCCGGCGCCGCCCGCCCGCGTCCTCCTGCACCAGCGCGAAGCGCTGCCCGGCCCGCGGCGCGCGGCACTGCATCTTCACCCGCGCGCCCGGCCCCGAGAGCGGGGTCACCGACTCGGCGGAGAGCTCGGGCGCCGGCAGCGACTCTGCGCGGGGAGGCGGGGGGCGGGAGGCCCGGTGAGCGCGGGGGGTCCGGGACCCGCCGAGCAGGCCTCCTCCGTCGGGAACAGTCCGCCCGCCCGTCCCGGACGCCCACCCTCCCGCCGGTCCTCCTGGGTCTCCTCCTCGCGTCCTTGTCCATCTGTTTGTCTGTAACCCCCGCGGCCGGGCTCGGAGGCTGAGCGCAGACCTGGGAGCCAGGAGGTCACAGGGCTCCATCCCCAGCGGGGGGCGCGCAGGAGGCAGCGGATCAGTGATTCTCGTCATTGATGTTTCTCTCTCTCTCTCTCCCTCTCCCTTCCTCTCTGAAATCAATGAAAATAAAAACAAAAGGAACAGCCTTGCCCTGACCGGTGTGGCTCAGTGGATGGAGCGTCGGCCTGTGGACTGGAGGGTCCCAGGTTCGATTCCGGTCAAGGGCATGTACCTGGGTCGCGGGCACAATCCCAGTAGGGGGTGTGCAGGAGGCAGCTGATCGATGTTTCTCTCTCATGGATGTTTCTGACTCTCCCTCTCCCTCTCTGTACAAAAATCAATAAAATATATTTTAAAAAATAAAAATAAATTAAAGGAACAGGCTGGGGGAGGGAGTCCTGTCTTGTCCCACTTGGCGTCTGCTCTGCCGGGGGGTCCCCGGGTGCGCGGCGCGCCGCCTGCTTGGCCAAGCGCCACACTTGAGTGTTGACTCAATCACTCCTCCTCCCGAGGCCTCGAGCTTGCTGAGCTCATTGGGAATCAGGCCGGGCACCTCCCCCGGGCGAGCCCCTCCCTTCCCCTGGGCCTCCCCCCACACACACACCCCGTTCCCCTGGGCGCCCCCCGCTTCCCTGAGCGCCCGTCCCCCGCCCCCGGGGCGCAGCGCCCAGCTCACCATCGCTTAGCAGCAGCTCCACGGGCGCGCTGTCCAGGGACCAGGGCAGGTCCTCCCCGCGCAGCTGGTAGCGGCAGGTGTACAGGCCGCTGTCCGCGGGCTTCAGGGATTTCAGCTCAAAGTTGACGGTGCCGGGGGTGGTGCCCCAGCTGCTGACCAGGAGCTCCTGGTCCCCGCGCCGCAGCTGGAACTCCACGCCCTCCACGGGCGCCACGCATCTCAGCGAGACCTGGGGACTCGACGGGAACAGGACGGCGGCGGACTCCCCGGACTCCCGCTCCACGCTCAGCCTGGGCGGCGGCGGCCTGGCTGCAAGGCAGGAGGGCAGCTGGGGCGCCGGCGTCCCCCACCCCTGTTCCCTGAGGAGGCCCAGCCTCCAGCCCCCAGACCTCTGCCCGCCCTGCGGCAGCCCAGGCCGCCCCACCGCACCGCGTGGGCCACTGTTTCCCAGACCCAGGCCTGGGCAGGGGCGTCCAGGTAAAGGCAGTTCTCCTGGCCTCCGGGAGCCGCCTCCCCCAGGAAGCCCTCCGGGTGGCCCCCAGGCTCACGCATGTCCTCAATGGTCACGGTGGCGCTGGGCTCAGAGGGGGCGCCGGCCTCGTGGGTGCGGTAGCTGCAGCTGTAGTTGCCGGCCCGGTGGACCTGGAAGGTGGCCTGCACGGCCTCGGGGGCCTCCGCCACCTCCAGGAACTGGTCGTCGCCTTGCCGCCTCAGCAGGAAGGTCACCCCCGCGAGTCCCGCTCGGCACAGCAGGGTGGGGGTCAGGCCCGGTGAGATCCAGGACACGGGCTTGCTGGAGAGCTCGGGTGCGGGCAGGGTGTCTGCGGGGAGCGGGGGGGGCGGGCAGGGTGGATGGTTGGCCGGACTTAGGCGGCCGGATGGCCTGGCTGGGCCTGGAGACCCTCCCCCCACAGGCCGCACCCCCGATGGGCCCCCACCACACTGATCGGCCGTCAGCCCCTCCCCCCAGCCGGCCCCACCCCTGGTCACTCCCCCCCAAGCCAATAGGGGGCCGGTGGCCAGCCAACCTCCTGCAGCCCCTCCCCCTGGCCTCCCACCCCCGCATGGGCCCCTCCCCCAATCAGCCCCCCAACCCCAATGGGGTGGGGGGCAGGCCTCCTACCAACCACCCACCATCTCCTCCTCCCAACAGGCCTGGCCCTGATCTGCCCCGATTGGGGCCAGGCCGACCCCACCCCTGCACATTCGTGCACTGGGCCTCTAGTGTTATAATAAATCGATAAATAAATAAAGTGAGGGAGCCAGGGAGATGGACAGGGACATAAAACAGGAGGAAGGGCCGAAACCGGTGTGGCTCAGTGGATAGAGTGTCGGCCTGTGGACTGAAGGGTCCCAGGTTCGATTCCGGTCAAGGGCATGGACCTTGGTTGTGGGCACATCCCCAACAGGAGATGTGCAGGAGGCAGCTGATCGATGTTTCTAACTCTCTATCCCTCTCCCTTCCTCTCTGTAAAAAATCATTAAAATATATATTTTTTAAAAAACACAAAAAACAGGAGGAAGTTGTGTGACAGGTCCTACTGTGCGCCAGGCGAACAGTAGGAACTCAGTCATGGATTCCTCACAAACCCTCTGGGGTCAGTGCAAATTCACCCTCGTTTTACAGACGGGGAAACTGAGGCTCAGACATGTCAGGGTCTGGCCCAAAGCCCCGCAGGCGCTCGGGGTGGGGCCGACAAGGAGAGTGAGGAGGGAGGGGGCCCCCCACTCACCTGCCCCAGTCACCTCCACCAGGTTGCTCAGCGAGGTCCATCTGTTCTCGCCCATGGCATAGCGGCAGCGGTACAGGCCCTGCGTGTCCGCCGTCACCGCCCCCAGTGGGAAGCGATGCTCCAAGCCCCCCTCACTGAAGCGCACCCGCTCCTGGAGCTCCCCGTCCTTGAACAGCTGAAAGTCCGAGGTGCCCAGGAGGGCGCGGCAGACCAGGGTCAGGTTGGCCCAGGGTTCCTGCAGCGAGCCAGCCTCTGCCCACAGGTCCGGCCGGGTATCAATAACTGGGGGGGCGAGGGGGGCGCGAAGGTCAGACCCAGGGAGGAGGACAGGGGCACCCCCTGTGTGCGCCCACCTTCCCCAAGTCCCTGTGCACCCCACGTCTTCAGGTCCCAAGTGCTCCCACCACCGCCCCAGCCCAGGCCCCGACTCACATGTGGCCGCTTCGGCCGCCGGGCTCAGCGAGAGACCTGTGGGGACAGGCCGGTGAGGCCCCCATTCCTGCCCCTTCCCGCCCGCCCGCCCCCCTCCTCAGGGGACCCGGGCCCAGGGCGCCTCACCCCAGAGCAGCAGGAAGGCCGCCAGCGTGGCCATGGTGTGAGCCTGGCTCCAGCGGGTGAGGGGGGGAGGTCATAAGGCCCCAGGGAGGGAGGGGGCAGTGGGTGGAGCCGGGCACTGACCTCTTCCTGGTGTTTGTCCTTCCCCAAGGCCAGGGGTGTGTGTGTGTGTGCATGTGCGCGCCCTTGCAGAGTGGGGTGACAGGGAGATCACCTGCGGCTTTAGGAACCTCAGCAATAATAAATACGCATTAAAAAAAAGAACTAAATTAAGCCCTAGCTGGTGTGGCTCAGTGGATAGAGCTTCCGCCTGCAGACTGAAGGGCCCCGGGTTCCATTCAGGCGAGATCTGGGTCCCAGCTGGGGGGTTCCAGGATGAGCTGGTACCCATGCCAGGGTGCCTCCCAGGGGTGCCGCTGAGAACCATGGGCACCTGCCCTCTTGCTGCTCAGTGGCCTCGGCTGCGGCAAGGCCTGGGCTGCGGGCTTGATCCCCAGTGGGCGGCGTGCAGGAGGCAGCCAGTCAGTGATTCTCTCTCATCGTTGACGTTTCTACTCTATCTCCCTCTCTCTCTCTGAAATCAATAAAAATATATATTAAAAAATAGTAATAATATATATATTTAAATATATTTTATTGATTTTTTACAGAGAGGAAGGGAGAGGGGTAGAGAGTTAGAAACATCGATGAGAGAGAAACATTGATCAGCTGCCTCCTGCACACTCCCCACTGGGGATGTGCCCGCAACCAAGGTACATGCCCTTGGCCGGAATCGAACCTGGGACCCCTGAGTCCGCAGGCTGACGCTCTAGTGAGCCAAACCAGTTAGGGCTATATATATATATATATATATTTTTTTTTTTTTTTCCCCAGAAAGCAAGGTCTTCAGAATTGCTAGGTAAGAATAAAGCGTGAACCTGGGCCAGGGATCTTCGCACCGGTGTTCACATCAGACGCTGAAACTCTGAGTTCTGCCCCTGGACACGGATTTTTCTCCCACAAACGTGTCTCAGTCCACGCAGCCCAGGCAGAAAGCTCTTTGTGGGAATCCCGGGCAGCGTGTTAGTCTTCGGCCCACTTTGCCTCGTGGGGTCCCAGCCCTGGGGCGCTGCGGGCACTGAATTCCAGATGGGCAGCTCTGACTCGGCAGGATGGGGCACCGGCACTCGAACCCCCACCTGTGTGGCCAGGGAGCTCCCCCCACACACACACCCAGGTGGCCCGTGGCTCCCTGCCACCGTCCACATGAGAGTCCCGGGACATGACCAGGCTGGGGTCCAAGGTCCCCACACGGGGAAGGGGGCCCCTCAGCCATGACCACAGATGTGGGGGACCCTCCCACCCCCTTCCTCCTGGTACAACTGGAACCCCAGAGTGAGCTGTGGCCCCTCACACAGAGGCCACTGAGCAGCAAGAGGGCAGGTGCCCATGGTTCTCAACGGCACCCCTGGGAGGCACCCGGGCATGGGTACCAGCGCATCCTGGAACCCCCAGCCGGGACCCAGATCTCGCCGTCAGGAGGCCAGCTCTCTGTGCTGCGGGCGTGAGGGACGGTGGGACCTGGACACCCGCCCTGACCCTGCCTCAGGGCTTCCAGGGAATCCGGGGTCATGGCTGCTGGCCTTGTGTCCCGGTTTGCACAACAGCCGGCCCCCGGCCAGCACTCAGCGTGACCTCCAGGATCATCAGAGATCCAGAGGCCAAGGACCCACCAGGACGGGAGAAAACGCCCTGGGCAGCCAGATGGCCAATCGCCACCAATCGGTGGACAGGTGTCCTGGGCATCGAGTCACCCACAGCTGAGCAGGTCCCCCTGAAGGAGGCCGTAGTAATTGAACCGTGCCCGCACCCCCAAAAGGTGCTTCCACACCCTAATCCCCAGAACCTGTGGATGGGACCTTCTTTGGGGAAAGAGCATTTGCAGATGGAAGTGAGGATCTTGAGATGAGCTCATGGGGAATTCCCTGGGTGGGCCCCACGGCTAATGACCGTGTCCTGACAAGAGGAAGGCGTAGGGAGAAGAGGAAGAGGCCCAGATTGGAGGGCAGCAGCCAGGAGCACCTGGACCTGCCAGGAGCCAGGAGCCAGGAGCCAGGAGCCAGGAGCCAGGAGCCAGGAGCCAGGGGCCAGGACAGGTTTCACCTGCGACCCTTTCGAGACGCGGCCCTGCCAACACCCTGACTGCAGACTCTGACCTCCAGCACAGAGACAGAACACATTCCTTATTTATTTATTTTATATATTTCTTTATTGATTTCAGAGAAGAAGCGAGGGGTTGCTATAGTTTTATGTATTTTTTATTTTTTTAATATATTTTATTGATTCTTCACAGAGAGGAAGGGAGAGGGATAGAGAGTCAAAAACATCGATGAGAGCCGGAACCGGTTTGGCTCAGTGGATAGAGCGTCGGCCTGCGGACTGAAACATCGATGAGAGAGAAATGCCGATCAGCTGCCCTCTGCACACTCCCCACTGGGGATGTGCCCGCAACCAAGGTACATGCCCCTGACCGGAATCGAACCTGGGACCCTTCAGTCCGCAGGCTGACGCTCCATCCACTGAGCCAAACCTGCCAGGGCTATGTTGTTTTTGAAATACTCACCAGAGGATATGCTTATCGATTTTATTGTTATTTTTTTAAATATAGTTTTATTGCTCTATCTGGTTTGGCTCAGTGGATAGAGCATCAGTCTGAAAGGTCCTGGGTTTGATTCCAGTCAATGGCACATGCTTGGGTTGTGGGGTCAAGGGTGTGCAGGAGGCAGCCGATAGATGATTCTCTCTATCATTGATGTTTCTTTCTCTCCCTCTCTTTTCCTTTCTCTGAAATCAATAAAAACATGTATTTGTTTGTTAATGTATTTTGTATTGATTTCAGAGAGGAAGGGAGAGGGGAAAGAGATAGAAACATCAATGATGAGAGAGAATCATGCATCGGCTGCCTCCTGCACACCCCCTACTGGGGATGTGGCCGCAACCACGGTACATGCCCTTGACTGGGATCGAACCCAGGACCCTTCACTCCGCTGGCCGACGCTCTATCCACTGAGCCACACCATCCAGGGCTGTTTGTTTTTTTTCTTAAATCCTTGTGGTGGCTCTGGAGCTAACATTTTCAGATTCCTTTAGACCTAAAGGCTAAGAATGAAGCCCAGACCTGGCTTCCTCTCTCTAGTCCCCATTTTCTCATCTGTACACTAGACGCAAAAAAAATAAAAAATAAAAAATAAAATAAAATATAACAGAGACGCGATGCTGCCACCTCTCCACCCCTGGCGTGAGGTCTAAATGAATCCATCCGTGTCACGGTCTGGGCACAGGGCTGGCTGGTGTCCAGCCGACGCTCGAAAACCTGCGGCTGCTTTTAACTAATTTATAAAATGGGCTGTTCACTCTGCAGACATGTAGGGGACGCTGCTGCTGTGTGCCAGGCTCCAGCCCCCCGCCCCCCACCAGGTCTGGAACTTGGAGCCCCCAGACCCCTGCCCACAGCCTGAACTCCACACACAGAGGCGATAGGCCCCAGAAGCCCGACGGGGCAGGTGCCCAGGCTGGTTGTCTCTCCAGGTCTCGGCCCAACCGGGCCAGCCAGAGCCCGGAACCAACACAACAACCCGCCTTGGCCCCGCCTGCACCTGAAGGGCAGGGGTCCAGCCGTTCGCACCCCAGCGGCGCCCCGAGTGGGCGGATCTGGGCTCCAGGTGTAGTTCCGCCTCGGGTCCGAACCAGACTCTCCGCCGGGTCCTTTGCGGTCGAAAATCCGGCAGGAGGTGCCCTAGCCGGTGTGGCTCAGTGGATAGAAAGTTGGCCTGCGGACTCAAGGGTCCCAGGTTCGATTCTGGTCAAGGGCGTGTACCTGGGTTGCGGGCACATCCCCAGTGGGGGGCGTGCAGGAGGCAGCTGATCGATGCTTCTCTCTCCTTGTTGTTTCTAACGCTCTATCCCTCTCCCTTCCTCTCTGTAAAAAATCAAAAAAATATATTACAAAAGAAAGAAAGGAAGAAAGAAAGGAAGAAAGAAAGAAAGAAAGAAAGAAAGAAAGAAAGAAAGAAAGAAGAGAAAGAAAGAAAGAAAGAAAGGAAGGAAATCCGTCAGGAGAGGAAAGAATGATCCTGTGGAAACTTAACTGAGCGTCGGGGTTACCATGGCGACCGCGGAGCCTGTTTCCCCAGCCCTGGGGGCGGGAGGGGGTGGAGACGTCGGCTTGCGATTCGCCGTTGCCTTGGAGACTCCCCACATCGTCCCGCCTTCTAGGCACTTGGATGCTCGTGATTGGTCGTTCCCAGGGGAGGGCGTGGCTTCAGGTCGGGTACCAGGCTGTCCGCCTGCCCATGTTCAGAGCCCAGAAGAGCCCGAGAGCCCCGCAAATGCTGGCACCACGTCTTCGGGCCCCCACATCCCGATGGCCAGGGACCCCCGTTTTCGTGACCTATAATTTTCTAAATTCCCGTCTCTAGTTCCATCAAAATCGGATGCCTCGTTCTCCCCCAATATTCGTCTTCAGTCCTTCTCCAACTCCTGCCTCTGGGTCCCCCCCAATTCTAGGTCCCCGTTTCTGCCTTACTTGGTGCCTTGCACCCCCAAATCGTAGCCACCAGGAATCCGTGTCCGTGCGACTCCTGAATTCATAGCCTTTCAATGCAAGCAGGGTCCCTCTCGTGACGTCTGTATTACGTCAGTTACCAGGGGACCTTTTCCGATTCTGTTCTCCCTTCCATGCTGCGGGGGGAAACCGAGGTTCTGAGGGGGAGCCCGTGTCTGCCTCTGAGGAGGAAGAGGCCGGGTTGGGGGCCCTCTGGGTCCTGCCGAGTGTGAGGGTCCTTCAGCACCTCGTGGGGGGCATCCCCATGACCAGGGAGCACCCCCAAGGGCCGGGGAGGGTGCCTCCAGGGCCAGAAACCCACCCCAGCCCCTCCCCAGCCCCAGACTCCCCATTGGGAGGCCCAAGCCTGCTGCTCTGGTCATGCCCATGGTTAGGAGGGCAGGGCCATGGGCCGCGGGCTGCAGGCAGGGGTGTTGGGGTGCAGCTCCTGTGCCTCCTGCCGGAGACTGAGATCGAACCCCTTGCCCAGCCCAAGGCACCCAGAGT